TAAATTTCATGAATGCAATTACAGATGTAAAAATGTTCCATTACTTTTTATTTTATTCAATTCCCATGTTTTCATTTTCTTCATTGTCTTCAATATATGACCCAGATGAAAACTCTTCACATATTAAAAATACTAAAGATTACTTTATTATCTAATTCACTCACTAAGTCGTTTTCAAAGTAAAACATGACATAAGGAGAATGCATCCAAAGTAAGTCACATAGTGTATTGATTCTGCTGATAATATTATATATAATAACACATTTAATTTACAATATAAATTACGAAGTCTTAAATAAAAAATATGATGGATAGAAAATAGAAAATTTGATTATGAATATAGCGTCACAATTAAAAATTGACATAAAAATTCTGAAAATCAATAGAAATTAATTTAACATTAAGATAAAGAATATTGCTTCATCAATATAAGAAATTGACTTGAAAATGATTTAAAAAAATCTTAGCGTTTTGACTATTTCATGCATGATTCACACTCATGATAATATCTTGTACTATTTATATTCAATAGTCTATTTACAATCTCCTAGAAAGCTTCAGTAACTCAAGTGATGTATAAATCAAGATCACTTTTAGAAGACATGTATCACTTTCAAATGATACTTTTATATAACATCATAATAGTACATTTCAAGATGTTTTGAATGATTATGAAAAAAATTTAATTATATAAAATACCATATATATAAATTTCCTAACACAGCTGAATAGAAAATCAATTTTTTGTTTAAAATATGTAAGAATTTGACATAAAAAAATATTGAAGTAAAATCTGAAAAGTTAAACCATGGTTTTGAACTCATTTATTCAATTTTTTTAAATAAAAATATACAATACACGTAATTACTTTTTTTACATAGATTTATTCATGTGAAAAACGAGAATTTTAAAAAAATTTAAGAATCATCAAATCTTGGAGATGCTGATATGTCATATCAACCAAGCTTTGTGATACTCTATGTGAATTTATGCATATATATTGTGCTCAAAATATATGGCTGATGTATACTATAAATGTAGCACCTTTGATGATAATGTTAAATGTAAAAGAAATCTGTTTTTGTGAAATCGCTACTAAAATACAAAAGATGAATTGGTTTTTTATGATATGATCCTTAGCATTTTCAACATTCTTACATTGTCATTACGAAGCGTATTCTAAGATACTATGTTCTTGAATTAAGTTCCAATTTATTTGTCGAACAAAAGTTACTCTTACATTGTATCACAAACTCCGAGTCCAAGTCCATCTCATAACTTCATGTTTTACTGAAGAAATCTTTCTAATTTTGTAATAACGAAGTCAAGAGTATAAAGAAACTCAAAGAAAAAGTAAAAGCATATAATACATCTGAGAAAAATTCGCTCATATTACCAAATTTTAAAAAATTATTAAGATATCATTTTATAACCTCCTTTAGTAATATAGTCTGTTGGTCTGGTGAGGAGAGTGTCACGATATCCGTGGATTTATTATTCTTACCGACCTCTCATTGCCTAAAAATCAATGCGGGTTGTCCAAACTGGTATTTTTGAATAACTACACTCCTTCATGATTTATATATCATCTGGAGGGAGACTGATGCAGAACACCCTGCTAGGAGCATCAAATTGAGCAGTAACGAAGACACGTGGCCCATGAGTTGGAGCACAACGCAATCCATTTTGTAAGTTCATCGGTTGTTGAGAGAGACCACTTCTGAATGATAGATACTCATTCTTGTTTTCAACAATATTCAACTTAACTACCAATGGAAGAAATTATGCAAAATGTAATTGTATATTCTCTCTAAACTTTTGAAAAGAATAGGCTTCACAAAGTCTAACCACTCCTAACCTTCTCTCTTTGATATTTATCTCTTCCCTAAATTGAGGGACAATATGATCCTTCTTGAGTTAAAGCACTGTAAACCCTATACAGTAAGAACACTTTTTTCTGATATTAAAGGACTTGAAATGTGGTTTAGCCCACTTTTATTCAATAACTCACTCCTCGGCTCTAAATTGGCAGGGCACGAAGAATTCGCACGCGTGCTGATTTGGAATCGTCCAGAATTATGTAACAGAATTACAAGCGCAAATTTCGAGGCATAGTGCAGGAGGTTCGCCTGAACAAATTTAGTGAATATACATCAATGGATGGAATGGCATCTCAGTTAAACAATGTACCAGGTATGCAGTGAACTTGCTTAGAGGAAGGGAAACATTTCAATACAGGAAGTACCGTACTTCACGCTATATTTCGCGAGGATAACATTGAATGTATGTCAACGAAGAGAAACTCACCAGGGAATGGCTCCGACGGTCTGACGCAGTTGCTTGGATTGTGGAAAAAGAACACGTTGTACTCCGATAAGAGCTGGTATGCAATATTGCAACACAGCTCATAAATGATCACAACTGTTGTGGATCATGGAAGTTGGGAAGAGCGTAAGTTGTGAAAGAATGACATGTTTGTCAGAAGATATGGTACAGTTGTCTCCTGCCCACATGTGTGTTCATAACCAATGAGAAATAGAAGCTAAAGATAGGAGTCAGATTCTATCCAAAACCCGAGTGCTAGCTAGATGACTGTCAGAACTCAGTGGCTCACACAGAGGCAAACTGAGTTCATGAAACGGTAGTACATCAACTCGGTAATAGTAATGGATTCATCAATGATTGGAAATGCGTGTTTCAAATGGCAGCCGTTCTAAATTAAGCAGAAAGAATCTTCAAACATAGCCCTGAGGACAAAGGTTTACTTCCTCCACGAGTCTTTCCGTCATATTCTTCTGCACAATAGCGGTCCAACGTCCTGTTGCGAAACAGTCCAGTGCAGTCGAGGAAACCGCGAAGGTGACCATGTTTTTGGTATCTCCAAAATTGCTCCTCAGTGCCACCTTCTAAATCAACTCATTACTGATTATTAAGGTTGCAGTTTGCTTGTTCAAACTGCCCAAATGATTGAAGTTGTATTCTTGAGAGTTCTCTACATTATCTTTAGGCGTTGAAGAATTCAAAGTTGACACTCAATGTGCGCACTACTTTCCATGAGGAGACTTTTGGTCCATGTCTCTCATAGAGTAAAGTCTAGTTACAACAAGGGCATGGGATGTTTTATTCTGGACTCTCGCCTGAAAATGGGTCCTTCTTAATTGTGCTGATCATGTTAAAAATAGCACTGTTATTCCGAACAGTTTCTCCCTGTTCAGTGACCCTACACCATGACTTGGCCCGAAGGGCATGAGGAAGTAAATCTGAAACGGGCTAATAGGAAGTAAGAGGATCTCATAAAAGGTACGAGGAAATAATTTCCTGTGCATTCAAACCCAATGTGCCGCAGTCTTGTTTCTGGCCATTCACGACTTTCAAACCAAGCCCATTGCACGGCATCGACGATATTGTCCAATCTAGATCGTGAAGTCCTTTGCAAATAACTAGAAATCTAAGACCTCCCGGTATGCATAGGTACATATCTCTTCCAGTGGTGACACATTTTGTTGGGCACTCATGGGTTTGGGGCGACAGCGAAAACATCAACACTGAAGGTCAGAATTATTCTGGCATACGGGAAACTTCTACCTAGTCTACTGTTCCCTACCTCAAGTACAGTAGAAGAAGTTAAAATATCTGCCACGGAATTCCGTGGCGGAATGTAATGAAGGTCAAACGTCTTTCCTCGGTATTTTTAAACCATGGACACGCACGCACCTCCAAATTATGAATACATGTACGTTACAACTTTAGTTTCCTATTTACACTTTTGGCTAGATCAACTATAACGTAAATAGATACGTAAATAGACCGTATGACATCCGGTCTATTTACGTTAGACTGGTCGCTTCGAAGGTACAATGTACGATCTGTGACCATACTCCTGAAGCAGTCTACAGTAGCGTGATCTCATGTAAGAACGAAACAACAGAGAAACAACTTTCTTCTGATTCGAAAATTAATAACTTTCGGAGAATACGACATGTTTACTGTGCAAGAGGAAGATCTCCTATAGATTACAATGATGGATTTAGTACTTCTGCCCGTGCGTTAACTCCTATAGGAAAAGAAATGACCTACTAATGCGGACGAGCTGTCATAAGTTTCAGACGATGCAGTTGCAAGCAGGAATCAAAGGGCTAGTGCATGAGTCAACAAACCATTATTCTTCCACTCGTGGGTTCGGACTGTTGTCGGGCTTTCTGTCCCAGAGCTGAAGAGAAAGTTTTCAGCAGCGGCAAGGACGGATTAGTATCGGAAGAGCATCGGGATTCTCAGCATCTTGACAGTGGATGTTATGGACGTGAAGAATTTGATCAGCAAGAGCAGCCCCAGGGTTGAAGAGGAGTTGAGGGATGGCCACACGTAGGACGTAGATGGCACACTTTACATGTACAAAGTTTCCACGGTACCGTGTGCACTGGGAGGACAAGTTATCGAATGATTCCCTAGGCTTCTCTCGTGAAGATGAGCAGGTTTCAGCTACTATCATCAGAAGACGAGCCACGACACAACTGCTACTAGGCCCAATAGAACATGTGATCGCAATAATTGCGTGAAGGATCGAAGCTGAGATCATGCCTGACTTAAAGAACTAAGTTCATGATTTGAAATCGACAGAATTCCTTAGAGCTGCAAACGATCAGAACGCTTTTATGCAATCTTTAGGAACTTGGAGCTTTAACGTTGTATACCCGATGTTGGAGTCTTCTAATCATGGCCGATATTCGTCTAGATTCGTCTAGAGCACCTTTCCATGCTCTAGAAACTTTGAAGCCTCTGTGCCTAAAAGTTTGCTGGAATTTGATATTTCTGATGCAGAAATATGCGTTTGGCGAGCAGCCCGAAGCTGATTAGAAACACGTGGAGCAAGTTCGGGTTTGAGGTGAAAGCAGTGCACGGGAAAGTTAGAATCCATGCACGCAAGTCTGGATTTCCTGCACCTCAGTTTCCCCTTTCGGTAACGTAGAACATAAGAATCCATGAATCGGGACTCTCAAACCGCATCAAGCACTTACTTTAAAACATTGTATGATTGTGTAACAGTCACCCATTGCTCTTGTCAAGGCAAACCCAATCATGGCATCTCTACCTAACATGCCACTAATTGGAACATTTGAGAGGGCGCTGCTTATAGCCTTTGAGGATTATACCAAGACTTCACTTTACATCAGATCCTCGTTCTTAGAAACCTTAACTTGAACTGAAAGACTGTTTCATCTCCTAACCCCACGCGACGAAAACGAGGTTTCGGTCAGTTTCAATGGAATCGAATACTGTACACTTGACCTCAGCAATGGTCATGAGTGACACATGTCTAACATCAGGATCGTCCTCTCCGGACACTGACAAACGAGCAGATGAAGTAGACGACATGCAAATGAAAGAGAAGTCTCCAGGCAGCGATTTCGCTTACGGATGTTATGGATCCGACCGCTGAGACATAAACATCAAAATTCGCCACGATTCGATGGCTTTCGAGGCGCAGAGACTTACAAACACATTGTTCATTTCCTTCACCACCCACAGCCACTGAACGTACAACTGTCGTAGAAAAGGGCTGCAAGTTACGAACGGAATTTTTATCTGCATCTGCTTTCATTGGTTGGTCGTGCGAAAATCAGAAGAGGTGTCTGAATGTTGGATGGTATCTGGGCTTGAACACTACAGAGCGAAAACGGCACCAACATAAAGTCAACTTCGTCCACCGGAAATGGAACAGCTCATGAGCTGTAACAGCTCAGCGAGATGAAGGATACTTAACCTGAACATACCGGTGAACTGGACGTATGATATGTTCGCGCCAGCAGACTCGTGACATGGCAAGATGCTCAATCATCCAGAAAGAAGTCCACTACTAGGAGCGTTGACGTCTCCCTAACTTACAGCAGAGGAGGAAATGAACTCGGACGTCAATCAATGAGAAAAACGATCTCACTATTCACTATTTCAATGTTAGCGTTTCGCTGCTTACTATTCAAGTTGAGTGCTTTCTATGTCATATGAGGAAGCTTAGCCTCTGTCAGAGTTGTCAGAATTTGCAGGACATCAATGTCTAGCCAACAAGCGCATGTGTCGATTACAATGTCACGCAAGTGTACGTCAGATGTTCCCCACATGTTAACGACGGCCACTCTCAAATCTTTTCAACTCTTTCACTCTGCTTCGAGTTTCTTCCGGTATATAATCATTACACTGTTAACAACCCTGAAGGGCAGGACTTTTTGGCCACCACATCTGATACAATGGATCTAGAGACCCGGACTACTGGTTAATCTTCTCGAACGCAAACAACCGGGATATGCTGGCTATGAATGTGCTACCTACAGACACATCGGACTTCCAAAATGAATATCAGAGGTCAATAATTCATTCATGGGCCCAAGACAGGGCTAGAAAATTACATGGGTTCACGTTGAAATTCGCGCAAGATTACTTGTATTTGAGCAATGATCGCCGACGTCAGCTTCATCATGATGGCGTGTGCTTATATCGTGGACAACTGTCCCGCAGCTCCGATTGTGTTGACGGTGACATATGTCGTAGGCCTTGCCTTTACAGCTTATCATGGGAACCCCAGTGAGTGAGTACTAGTAACTCATAACTCTGCTTTCCATGCGTTCGAGGGCGCGAGCTGATTTTGACTTCTGGTGTTTTTACCTTTCATACAGCAGATGGCTTGAGAGCTGGATGAGTGTATGGTAAAGTTCCCTTGAAGCACGTGAGCTCTGCTCAGGCAATCTTCATGCACAGTGAAAGTGTTATAGAGTAGAAACTCTAGACCCTTGCCTGTCCTAGCCATGTGCTTAAGCAGTAATCAGTTTCTCGACTGTCCCCACGAGTTGCCAGCTTCGAGCTACGAAAACCTTCCAAAATCCAGGCACCTTTTGCTTTAAACTCCGGAATTGAGAGCTTCTCTTGGCGTGATGGTGGCGGGTCCCGTAAGAGATGGATAGCTTCATAAGGCCTGGCTTCAATGCTCCTCTCCATCTCCATTTGGCTCCGCCCCTACATTCAACCGGGAAGCAAAGTACCCCGGCTTGTACATAGACAACTTGCGTTTGCTCTTGCCTCGGTGCGTGCAGGCAGTCAATTGAGGTCCCCGGTTAGATACTAGAAAGACAGTCGAACTTGAGCAGGATATATCAGACCACGCCAAACTGTGCAGGATTGTATTGTGAGAAGAATCGCGCGCAACAAGCGAGCATTGTGGCTCGAAGGAAAGTGCGGTCAGAGCTGACATCGCAGGTGCAATGGGGCGAGGGAATGCAGGCTTGAGCTTGTTAACAATTGTGTTGCTTGGCTTGTATGTGGCGTCGACCACGGCACAGACAACTCCGGCCTTGAATATCACTTCAATTCTCGCCAAGTATCCGAGATTCAGCGTTCTGAGCGACTTGTTGGTCTCGTCGGGCGTAGAGAAGGAGATCAACTCCCGAACTTCCATCACTCTCCTGGCGCCGGCCGATGCCGTGCTGACGGCCTTTCAGGCCAGCGTGCCCAATGCCGACACGGTGAAGATCGCCGACCTCCTGCGCTACCATGTGCTGCTGCAGTACTTCGACATGACCGAGCTCAAGGGCCTGGGCACGGTGAACTACAGCTCCGTCACCACGTTGCTGCAAACGACCGGCAGAGCCAACGAGCAAGACGGCTTCGTCAACATCTACAACACGGCGACGCAGATCCTCATCGGGCCCGCGGCGTCGGCGTCGGCCTCGAACGCCACGGTCGTCGGCACCGTGCTGGAGGACCCCTACGACATAAGCATCATCGAGATCGACCAGGTTCTGAAGCCGGCGGGCTTCGACGCCGTGGAGGGCGACCTCGTCACCGTGCTCGAGTCGTTCCAGACCTTCAGCCTCTTCATCAGCTACCTCAAGGCGACGGGCGTCGACGGCGTGCTGGCGACGAGGCAGACGAGCGGCGGGCTGACCGTGTTCGCGCCGCGAGACTCCGCCTTCAACGCGCTCAAGTCGGGGTCCATTCAAACTCTGAGCCCGGGCAAGCAGAAGCTGCTCATGCAGTACCACGCGCTCACGCAGTACTACACGATGACCAACTTCCTGTCCATGGTCGACGCCCCCGTCCAGACCGTCTCCTCCACCGTCGGCGGCGGCTACCTCATGAACATCACCTCCAAAGCCTCCACCGTCACCATCAAGACGGGCGTCGGCAATGCCACCGTCGGCGAGGTTCTGTACAATGCCAATCCTGTCACCATGTACGCGATCGACAAAGTTCTCCTGCCCACGGAGCTGTTCGGCACGCCCGACCAGCTCAGCCCGGCCGAAGCTCCCACGCCGACTCCCGACGCCGCTCCCGCCCCGACGCCCAAGGCCTCCGCGCCCGTGCCCCCGGCGGCAGAGACGCCAACAATCCTGCTAGAACCTGAGGTCCCTCCCGCCTCGACCAATCCCAACGCTGCCAGCGTGGCTGGAGTCAGCGGAGCCCTGTCAGCCGCTGTGCTGATCGTATCATCCATCGCGGCCTTCCTTTAAGTGGCTGCGACGCCGTTGGCTCGATCGGCCTGTTCGCTTGCACCGTTCTTCGCTGGAATGGTTGCAGAGTCAGGCATAAGGTGGCATGAATTTCCATGAGCACAAAATGGCATGCCCTTCATTCAAGCACTAACAAAAACAATTCAATTCTTGCCATGATTTGGCTTTTCCTAAAGGTCTCGTACTGGAAATTCAGGGTACGGAATATGTCCAATCTTGATCCGGCCTTTTAGAACACTCTGCGTTGATTGCTGCAAAGGCCGAAGAAGAGTTCGGTCGGTTGAAGACTGAGAAAGCTCGAGCAGTTTTCCGACCGTACTTTCAGAACAAGCTGTTACGTTAATTGTAGGTAGTGTTCCAAAAACGATTTCCTGGAACCATTTGCAGTATCAGATATCGGTGATTGTATAACATCTTAGAGGTTTGGGACTTTTTAAACGTGCATTCTTCGTCACGATTGCTGTCATTGTCAGGTGACTGTGACAGTGTGTTCCCTCATGTTCAAGGTTAGTCTTCAATATGCTGTATTTTTCTGGAGTTGACCATCCATATTCAATAAACGTTGCTGGTAATGTTCAGCTGATCGTGCATCTCAAGCTTGTTTCGTTGATGCAAATGATGGTTTTTCTCATCTGGGGAGCAGAGAAATCTGCGTGCGTATTGAGCACTGCACACTTGGACTGCAAATGGTATTTTCTGGAAGTCCAGGCAGCACAGTTGTGATATATCATCTGCACAAGTTATCATGATTAACTGTTGAGAAAACGGTAACGCGCACTTACGAGTCCCTGAGGGCATTTCATATTAGGTATGTATTGTGTAATGGTCCTACATGCGATTCTTTAATAGATCGCGCGTCCAGTTTTATGTACAATACTCTGTTTATGTATGGTCACACTTTCTAAACTTTTGCTGTTATCTAATTAGCTTTCGTTGTTTCGCCTTCTCGTCTTATGCATCAGTTTTCACGCCAAGAGTATAGATAATCTGGGTTACGTTACAACTTGATCGCGAACTACTTATGGTGAGTTATTCCAAAAGGGCCATTGATGATGATAAACTCATGTAACTCTGTTGTAGATCTCGAAGACAACCAAAGAAAGGCCACTATCTCTCTTCAGAGACTCTCTAAGCGATAGTTCCTGCATACTGCAAGTAGTGGTTACTCCGCAATTCAAAAAGGTTATGGTGTGTTTGCCGTGAAAAATAGACTGCCTGTATTCTGCAAGAATTCAAAGTTTGCGCAGATATTGTCTTCCTAACATTCACAAAGATTTTTCAATTCAACTTGCTTGGTTACTACACATTTAATTTAGATACCATTGCGAAACAAAGAACAGTGAGGGATAAATAGAGTGTTCACATATATATTAATCTCAAGTTCAAGGGATGTAAACAGACAAGAAGTCGCAGACAATGAGCTCAAAAATCAGCCAAAGAAGCCTAGAATATTAAAACATATGCAAAACTCAAGTTCAAGGGGCAAAAACATTGCAGACGATGTGGTCACGTGCTGTAACAGACACCTCCACCAAAACTCATGTCCATTAGGAGCAGTCAGATGCCAGGCAATCAGCAACCAAGAAGCAGCAGCTGGAACGATTAAACATCACGATTAAACGAGAAAATTGAGGGAGGACGACGATGCCTCCACCATCATAATATGCAAGTGATAATAAATGCAAAGAAAGATTGGAGACAAATATTACTGGAACCAACCACAACATGAACAACTTTAATACGCAACTCCAGGTTGCTCAAATTCATTGAATTCCCACAATAGTTGAGAAAATATGGTCGATATACATAGAGCTCTCATGCGCTCTTCACTCTACCTCAAAATTAAATCTAGTACTTTAAATTAAATCTGATACGCGTGTAAAATACAACTCAACATGCTGCAGATATATGGTACAAAGTAATCATCAGAAATGTTTTCGAAAACTCACAATGGTGAAACCTGGAAGATGCGTCTTTTCACAAATCACTAGGAGCGCAACTGCACGAACCATGTTCTACTGGAGCTTATTGATGATACCACCAAGAATTACTTCAAATCCAACGTCCTATACTATTGGGCGCAGCCCAGACGACGCTGAGAAAGAAGTAAATTAACAATACAAGAACTAAAAACATCTCAACATGTGCAATGGATCTCAAGAGAGTGATCTACAGCCCGATCCATGCTTTAGCAGCAGAAACTACGTACACGATTCAAAGGGTCCCACATGATGTCCAAACTGACACAGTCTATAGCGACAATTCGAATGGGCGTGATCCACTGGGCGTTCACTCCAAACCGCATTATGTGCTGTAGCTCACCTGTATCTGTGTAACTAAGGTCCATCTCGAACAATAGGTCATTTCTCATAATACCTGGCCAACCTGAACCCTCCGGTACGTCGGACAGATCCGCCATCGACGATTGCTTTATCCAGCAATGACGTCCAACAGGTTGTATCAAACTCGACAATATATAGATTTAGAGTTCCGTACATGAGCACAACACATTGTATACAGAGTACTGTATAGTCTTCAGTGTAATGCTGAGGTCGACGGGCGTTAGACAGGAAGACTGTCTGTGAAAAAAATCACCTTAATCTGAGAACACACACAGTCAAGAGATTAGGCTACTACTTTTAATTGTGACAAAAGATACATCGGGTTATCACAAGGTACCTTCTGACAGAGCAAGATGCATAGAGGTCGAACTTGGAATTTGAGCTAAGGTGGCAGACATGAAGGTCTAGTCATGACAGAGTTATCCAACAAATAATTGAAAAGACCTCACGACCTCTTCACATGCTTTCGTTCCGATGTACTGGTGAAAAGATCGAGTTGGCATAAAAGAACCTGATTTAGACACAATAACTTCATTGGGCCTTTACTTCGGTTTGATTTCTTGTTTACCCAAGGTTTTAAGTGCCCGCATCAGTAAACACAGAGAAGGAATACAGATGCCGAGTCCGAGCAAGTAACACGAGTTACAATGCTTTCTTCGCGCCAAAAAGCATGCCATAAACTAGTGAGAGAGCCAGATGGTCATCAGCCAAACTAATAAGGTGGAAAAAGTAACCGAGATAATTTGCAATACCTGAGGTTGAGCCGAAGGCTTATCATCCACTCCTAGTAGCGTTATTAACAGCAGACTGAATTTGTGCACGGTCGCCAGGACAATAATTGACGTGGCAATACTCATTCGCCGCGTCTGCAAAGTACGAACAGAAATCGGCGGTATACCATCCGCAGTCCTTATTGACATCCTTCTCCACTTCTTGGCAGCACGAGCTGTCGATGTCGAAGGGCCTTCCGGTGCACGTCCACAAACGAGCAACTACATCATCGTAGCTGTAACAGGAAGAGGCATCAGGTTGCACGATAAATATCACAGTGACAATTCCGATAATCAAAGAAAGGATCAGTATGAACCACACGAGACGTTGGGTCCAAGAGGTTGCTGCCATTCCGCCCTTCAAACTCATTCCCCGCACAGCACAAAGTTCTTCAAAATCTGCTTTCGGTTGAAACTGAAATCAGGCCAAGTATCGCAGAATTGTAATGAGAAGCCCTGGCTACAAACGGCTGATCTCCTTCCAATTTTGTGCAATGATACCTGTTCTATTCAATCCAGATGACCATAGGTCGCGACATTCCGTCCAAATTCCTCCTTACGTATGGAAACCACAGATTTCCCTCCCTCAGGTTACCCAATTTGGCTTCACACTAATTATACCTGGAGCTTTGGCACTGACACCCACCATCTCTTCCAGTCGTCTTACTTTCTTGACAGGTGTTGCGGTGGCTGCGGGTGAAAAGGAGCATACAGCTTGAGACTACTGCAGATAGAGCTGACAGCTGCTCCGAGCATCGAAGGATGCCACAATTGATGACCAACAGATGGCCTGGTGCATGAAGTTCGGGGCCACGGTACACGTGCAGCTTCTTGAGAAGCTCGTCTCGAGAGCATCTCTTCAAAGGTTTAGAGGTTCGGGCTGGACTATCGACTGGTTGCTGGGACCGCATTAATTCGATGGAAAGATCTCGCGGTACCGGCGAGCCCAGAGCGCAATTGTGAACCGACTCTTCTTGACCTTCTCGAATTCTCAAATTCTCGGTGAGCGAGAATTCCCGCTCTCCATGCGCTTCATGCAACTGCTCCGAACACTTGCGTCCCGGTACTTCCAACCGGCTCGCCAACATGGTAATCCGGTTTTTCTTTTTTCCTTCGAAGCTGTGTTTCCTACTTCCACAAATGGTTTATTCTCATGTATATAACTAATGAAAATCATAATATTACATGATATTGACAAAGGATAGAAATGAATGTTCGAGATTTTATTTTTCTTTCTTGTGTACATCTGAATGATGTGAAGTCCCTTTCTGTGTGAATAAGATCATGATCCAGTCAATTGTAAATTTTGTAATTTGCTCAAACAATAGCTAAAATCATGCCAAAATCTAACTGGTGAATAGTTTTCAAATGCACAGTTGAATCTTCATATTAACTTCATCCTTTGCCACTTGATTTTAGTTTTTACGAAAATGTAACTGTGATGAGAGAGTCAAATTTCAGGTTCATTAAATTCTTCATAATAAAAATTTCTGATTTTTTCAAATAAAACTGATATTGATTCTCAGACTTTGATTGTATTCCATGTTTTCACAAAACTTAACATACTAATCTTTTATGTGCTTATGTTTGAATATGATGCGATAGATGTGAATTATATTGTATTAATACGGTACCAAAACCAAGCAATGAAATCTCTTAAGAAATAAAGCATATAGTTTTAAGTATTGAAAAAGTATTTGAAATTGAAAATAATTAATTTCACATTTCAAAACTGCCTGATTTCCAAAGTGATCAATTTATACTTTTATATTTAAAACATCTCACTCACTTAAACTAAAATAATCATATACACTATGTATTAACTGAACATTTGATTACTTAAAAATTTCTATCATAGATTGAACTTATTTATATTTATACATCAAGAATCATTTTTTTAAATTATTTAACTGAAAAATATCTTATAATAATATTTAAAAAAATTAATCATGTTATTGAAATTTATATTCTTATATATATAATAATTTCATTATGTACCTTTAATATATTATGATTTTAGTTATAAAGCAAGAAAAAATTTGTATATAGATTGCATTAACCGTGAAAGCTTCAGTTCATCATTCATCTTATTTAAACTTTCATGTTCCAAACTTAAGTACAGTATTTTTGAGAAAAATACTGTACTTAAGATTCACTCATTAAAGATCCAATAGATTTTTGAGAAGTCCAAGTACATAATAAAAATATATCATAAGATATGTTTAATCAAGTTGCATTTGGAAAAAAATCATATATATATTTATATGATTTCCACTTTATTTTTGTCAAGTATTATTAACTTTTTTTTCATAGTATAGTTTTTACTCAATAATTTTGTGAAAATAAAACAATGAAAATTTCGAAATGATGCATATGTTTTTATTCATACAAATTTTTTTTGAGAAGTTTTTGATTGAAATTAAAATACTGAAATTTTGATACATTTTGAATCATATATAAATTTCATGATGGATTGGTCAATCATCTATTCCATCACAATAGATTGATGAATCACTTTTATGAAATTTATTTGGAAAACTTAAATTGTTATAGGTGTTGTATGAAGTTATGTATACAATAAAAAAAAAACCTAATTCAAAATATCTTTAATCAATTATTCAGATACAGTAACCTTGAAAATCCTTACAGTTATAAACGGATGTTCATGAGAAATTTATTTGTTTAAGAGTGAAATGCATTGTCATGTGTATTGAATCTATGATTCATTATTGTTCATATAATTGAATTATTTTTAATTATAATGCTAGACATGAAGAAATTTTGAGAAGAAAAAAATTACTATATCAGATTATGAAATCTCAACTTTCACATATGTGTATAAAATGATACAATTTATCACAAATAGATGTAATAAATGTGTGATTTCATTGTGATAAAAGTGAAAATATGCAATATTTTTAACATATTAATGTCAGTAGCTTGTTAAATTCTTCGTGTATCAGATCAAGATATGTTGAGATTGTAAAATTATGATATTTTGGAAAATTTGTATGCATGAAATTTCTATTTTATCTTGTGGAATTTAATTTTTACATACATTTTTTCTATTAAATAGTCCAATTTTATGATATGAAAATGACATGTTCGCTAGTTTTAACATTAATTTTTTTTAAGTATATAATAGTGCAACATAAAGATCACAAAAGATCGAATGAAACTGTATTGAAGGTCAAATTTGTATTGAGTATTGTCAAGTGTAAAAAATAATTAATTAATTTATTAATAATATATTTTCATATAATTAAAAAATATTATATATATAAAAAATACATCTCACTCAAACCAAAGTTTTTCTATATTTTTTAAAACTTAAAAAATGAAATTTGTATTAGTAAATAATCTGTATTACTAAATTACCTGGTTTAAACTGAATTAGAAATTATTCACGATACATAAAATTATATTATGGCGAAATATACAATTTTCATGTTAGAAAATTATGTGTTTGATAAATGAAGAGTAATTATGTAAATTGGTTACAATACATCGATAATTTGTCTGTTTGTTAAATATATTTTCCATTAAGAGTAAAATTTATTTGAAGAGCATACATTACATTTTTGTACTTATTGTATATGTAAAATATATAGAGAAAATTAAAACCTTTTTATATTTTTTATAATTAAATTGAATTCTTAATCATAATTTCAACAATGCTTAGAGATTTTTTATTATGAGTAATAATAAAGTAAAATAGTTATGTATTATAAAAAAGAAAGAAAATTGTTGAAAATTCATAAAAAACTGAGATAGTTAAATACAATTTTATCTTATTTAATTTTCATCCTACGTATGTAAAATTCTAAATTTACTTCATTTTTAGTGAAAAATTGCTTATACATAATTAAGTTTGGTATGAAATTGTAAATACATGCTCATGAAATTTTTATAATACCACAATATTTGATTGGACTTATACCGCCAATATTATTTTTTGATGTTATCAGCTGGCATCATGGTCTTAAAAATATTATTAAAACTCCAATGCAAATTAATGTTATTAATACATTAATGTAAATCTCGTAACTATGTATGTTTTGCAGAAAGTAAAAAAAAATTATATTTTTGTAGTCATATAAAAAACTAGCTTTGAGATTGCTCATAAATCGATCATATTTGAATTCATTGGTAGAGGGTGATGAATTGATGACACAAATATTGTCACTATTCCTTTTGTGTTGGAGAGTTTGAGTACATCGAGATGTTCCAATCTATTTGGTAAAGAATGTGTTGTGTTTGTGGAGCGGTAACATGCTACCATTCTTGTGCGTGTGTTTGGAATGTGGAATGTGCTTGGCTGTTAGTTGAGTTTACGTAATTAGAAGTATATGATGTAGTTTTCCTGATGTGAGAATACGCATGCTACCTTTTCAACCTACTTATCTGCCATCTCGACCAGTTTCAAACCTAAGAGAGCATTTATTTTATCTACGTGGATGCGTGTAGGATAGGGATAAGTAGTATGAGGACTGGAACCGAGGTTTGAACATGTGTTATTTGTGGCCGGATGCCACAACATTTGTGAAGCATGAGTAAATAGTATATAATAAATGTGAATAACAATATTGGATGGCTAATAGGAGGGATTGAATTTTAGATTTTGGAAGGTAATGAGATGTGGCTATAAGTTTTAGAGACATGGGGAAGGGATGAGGGTGTTGGGACTTAAAACTGAAGCATCTCATGGCATGAGGCGGTACTGTACCGCGTAGATTTTCCTACGTAACCGCGCCAGAGGTTTGAGCTTCAGATACTGTAAATGGTAAATGGTTAATAGATCAAGCCCGTGGGACCCAAAGGGTCAAAAGGCTAAAAAACACAAACAATCCAACTCCAAACTAGGAGAGAACCAAAAGAACCCCCTAGCTAGTGCCCAAAGCACTAGAACGGTAACTAATAATATCTCTAATGTAACAACCTAAATCATAAGGCTCGAGTTGAAGCAGAGAAAAGAAATTCTTGACATCAACTTTATGCGCCACTCGAATCTCTATATATCTAGTACAAGTAATAAACACATGCTCTTCATCCTCAACATTTCTCCCATCACATAGCCTACAAATCCGTTCACTCCTAGCAATATTCAACCAACGTCCTTCCTCAATTCCAAGCCTATGAGATCCTGTTCTATGGCTGGCAATAATATGATGTAAAGATGTAGCGATCTCTGCAACAAGGTACCCTTGCTCACAATAAATAAGCATGGGATTCACATGAAGTTCATAAAACTGCATTTTAGTGCCTACTCTACTCCAAATGATGTTGAGAAACTTCTCCTTAATACGCTCGCGAAGGGCCATAGGTTGCAGATCCCAATCCAATTCCGTCACATTCCACCTCAAAGACCAAGTCATCACATCTGCAAACCATCCCTTGGAACGTGTGGCACGCAAAGCATGAAGAGTAAGTAGAGAAGCATCAAGAGATCTCACCCTTCTAATATAAGTGATGGTCAAGTAGAGAGCTTCAGCCTCAAGAGTTAGACAACCTGTTTCCGCAAGAAGAATAGCATAAGGAGTTTGGTTCCTTACACCTAACTCTTCTTGTAAGAATATCTTTTGCACTCTCTCCACACGCTCCCAACTTGTCTTCTTACTGCCAGGACCCCACACTTGTGTCCCATATAAAACCACCGGCAACACTAAACTCCTAAATAAAAATTTCCTAAGACTCCAAGATACTAGATGAGCTCTTCTAAATTGATTTAACAATGAATGTAGAGCTTTGTAACCAGCTTCTACTCTCTTTTGTACACAAAGTGCCCAACTATAATTCTAAGAAAAATCAATGGCTAAATATTTGTAACTCTTCACTTGTTCCAATTCTTGTTCCTTGTAAAAGAGAGAGAACTTGGATCTAGTGCCCACAAGAATGATCTTTGATTTTTCTAGATTGACCTCCATCTGATTTCGAGTACAAAAGCTAGCCAAAGTATCAAGGTGTTTCTGTAAACTAATTGCATCACGTGCTAGTAATATGATATCATCTACATACAAAAGAGCTTTGATCACAAAATCTCCAAGTTTGACTCTTTCACTCTCATAATCATCCAACCACCTTTCTATATCATCTATGAATATTCCGAATAGAGTAGGAGAGAGAGTACAACCTTGAATAACTCCAATGGTGCTCGAGAACTCTTGAGTCTGAGAGTAATCAATCTTAGCTCGAACTGAAGTGTGTAAAGTGGCCATAGCTCCGAGTAGATTAGCCGGTACTCCAATGTCTTGTAATCTTTACCATAAAAACTTTCCAGTAACAGTTTCAAAAACTTTCTTCAAATCGATGAAATCACAAAATAAAGCTCAAAATATAATGTAATTGGTCTGTCCTCTCTGCCAGTTGTACGGTGCAGTAGCAGGTGGTGAAATTCGATGTCGGACGCTGCCCGACCTGCTAATTTCCTGGTCATCAATTGGGCGCAATCGAGAAGCGAGCTTCGACATCGTGACTGGGGCTGTCTTCGTATTTCGTCGAAGATTCTCGTGGGGATCTCGGCCTCGGCAAACTTGCGTCCTGCAAGGCCTGTTCACTATGATCCAGATGGAGAGTCTGCTGTAGGGCGTCGATGATGGTTTATTGTACTTTTTAGCAGTCTCGTTGAAGGTCCTTCGCCTGCAGTCCGGTGACGATGTATTAGATCGCTCCAAGTCGTGGATTTTTCAGTTCGGAAACTTTTTGCTGAGTGGAGCAGAGGCGAGGGCGAGGGCGAGGCAGTTGCCAGCATCTCTTGTAGGGGAGGAAAACTATCGCACAATTTCTGGCAATCTGCTGAGAAGGAAAGTTTTGAGATGTTTCGGAGACTTGTGAGTAAACTGCGGTCTTACAGTGGGCGCGTCAAAGTGGGTGTGGACAAGTATGGCAACAGCTACTATCGAAGACCCGAAAATGTAGATGGCGCACGTATGTTTCGCCTTTCCTTAATATATCATGTTAGGTTTTTACTGCCTTTTTATCGATAATTGTTCAGTTTCTGTCTGATTTCATAATTCTGAAGTCAGGTTGATGCCAGTGAAAAGTCACAAGCTGTTATCAGCAGTTTCAATTCATCTGACGAGGAGTGCTTTCTGATGGACAACGGAGCGGTCATAGTTTAGCGAGTTTTTTGTTTTGAATTTATACCGGCCATGCAAACCTTTTTCTAGTTGCCCCTCACTTGCCCAGTTCAATGCTTTAAGGATATTCATTTCCATACCAGGCAGTCAAATGCTATGCTATCTATCGCTAGGAATTCCTATTGAGTCGGTTATATTCGATCCTGGGTTTTATCTCTGAGCGTTTTTTCTTCTGAAGTCATCGTTGGATTCGACATCTATGGTTTAGCTATATTTCAAGTAAGAAGGTTCCGCTCCTGGATCCTTATTGTGATGTTTCAGAAAGATCTAAATATGATGAGAGTCTTCATTCAGTTATGGATTTGCAACATTATATCAGCTAGCCTTGCACTTTTGATTGTCATGCTACAGTGGTGGAAAAGAGATGGGTGGAATTCAATGCTGAGCCGGATCCTACTACCGTTCCAGGTGAGACTTGTACTCAGTTTACGAATCAACGCTAGCTTTTGCTATGATGCACAAATAAGACCTAAAATGAAGTTGTTCTCTGCTGTTTGGAAGTCGAAATAGTGGTAGAGACTGTTAGCATTGGGCATGTAACGCTTGCTGATGAAATTTGCTACCAGCTGGTTGTGCATCTTACAACCAGCACAGTCCATGAACTTTGCAGGCTTTGTACAATTTCTGAATTCTGGACTGAAATGAGGCGACATTGCAGTTGAATGGACCAGTTGGTTATCCGGAACAAGAAAAGAAGCACCAACTAAACAGGTTTGAAATTCGTAATGTCTCCTAAATGTGTTCAAAAGGCTTTCATTTTTCGTTGAACCCTGAAATCACTTCTTATTTCTATATATATTCTTCAACCAGAAAATGTTTTGGCTGTTTCGAACTTTTTTAGAATCTCCACCGTTATCTGTATCAGCTCAACGATTCTTTGCCAAAAGTGGTTCAGACTCCAGAGAAAGTTTGAGGTCCTTATGCAGAAATAGCTCAAAGTACTGATTTTTTTTACTACAACGACATGTTTTAGGATGATTTAAATTTACCTAAAACAATAATTTGACTTCGCTTTCTCAAATGTGCAGGAAATTCTAGACCTGGAAGCTCATCGCCAAAACGTCAGAATGGCGGCAGCATGTAAGATCACCTCTTCATGTTCCTCTGTATGAGAGCTCCGAGTTACAGCTTGAGACTTGCATAAATGCACCACCGGACCACCACATCTGGGTTAAGATAACAGTGATGAGGCATTTGAACACAAGTTTTCGAACGTCATAATGAGTGCTTCTTCTGTGCAGTGTATGAAAAGGAGGAAGAAATAAGGCGTGTCAAAGCTAAACTCTCTCAACAAGGATTAAAAGCAGGTCAGAGGTTGATTCACGTGATTTTTGTGTAGTGGATATCATTTTTCTCTTTGCCTGGAGAATACAGTGAATTAAGAGTTATCGCAACATTCCAACCATATTCCTCTCAACTTCACAACCTCACATCTGATATCTCCTGTTGCCATTGAGAAGGCTACCTCAACTGCGTTTCTTTGTAATTTTCCAAGTCTTCATCCCTCGAACCATCTGGGCTATTTGTAATTTCGCGAATTTATAAGGACTTTCCTTACTCTGTTACCATAATATACGTGGAGAATTCCACGTAAAGAGGGTCTTTGAGACGGACCACAAAGACGCATAGATTTTACCAACTTCCTCCAGTGTTTGGATACTACTGAGAGGGAGCTGAAAGACGAACTTCAATACCGTTAACGAGCTATATTGGAAGGCACAATGGTGGAATATCATTCGCGCTTTTCATCGAATCACTCACACAAGTGGCCGGAGTAGGATAAGATCCGAGTTCAGAGAGACTCTCTTTGAAGTTCTTAGAGAGATGGAAGTGGAGAGTACGGTTGCACCATGAGCAGTATCCCGAGTTTTAAGAATTGACCAACAGGGGCAAGTTAGTCAAGTGTAGGATATGGTGGAGGGCACAAAACTACTTTCGGGACCATATTGTGGAAGAAAGAGATAGGTATCCCCAAAGTTCCAGTTTTGGAGGAGATAAGTGGTTTTTAGCGAAAGAGCAGGGAGAATGCTGACGACGAATATGACCCCCGCCTATTTTTATTGTAGTCAAGCCCGGTTAGAAGGCTGAAGGGTCAGGTACTAGGTTGTAATTGCCCCCGATGCCAAGTGATGGGGATTCACAAGCTACCTGGTTCAGCTGGCTAAAATCTGCTCACTTGTAGTTCATGCGATACAATTTTGGCGACATTAAAGCAGAGCATCTTCAGTTGGTGGATCCAGAAATATATTAGAAGTTTGAAGTCTTGATGCAAAGCCCAAAGCTGCCGTTCCTTTGAGTTTGATCTTTTGAAGTCGGAAACTTTACAGGGCTGAAAGGTTTTTGATAGCCCCGGGAAGCTGCGATTGATTTTTATTTTACGAGAGAATTCCCTCAATTAAGGATTATCTTCGCTGCTAATTACCTCTTTCCACCAACCCCGCCCAGCGAGGGCCATGGTCGATTGTTTTAGGCAATAAGAGAAATTGCAATGCATACAGGTTCTTTCCCCAAGATGGATGAGCTACTGAAGGCTTTTATTGTTGACCCTTTGAAGCTCTGAACAATTTTCTATCTTTGTGGATATTCCCAGTTTAAAGGACCGTCTTCCTTCTAACTAGTCTTCTCTCCTTTCCTCTTCGATATTCATTCCCTCCCGTTTCTTCTGTTTCCGACTCGTCTCTTAATACTGGAATCGCTCAGATAAGGTTCTATGCTCTGCAGGCTATGACAGACAATACTAACATGCACTGTGTGCATCCTCAAACCTGTTCAACAGATGATCTTAGCCTTGAAGATATGCAGGTTATGCTGCGACAAATCAGTGGTGGAGAATCTCGGCAAGATGGTATGTATCCATTTCGGAGGTCTGGAAATACTCATCTGTTATTTGAATAGTGTAAACTGCATATCTTATTAATCATTGTTTTCTGCGTATAATCAGATTACATACCAGTCAGCTATATTTAAATGAAAAATATGTTCCCTACTAAAGTGCTTTATGAATGGCATAGGTTCCGACAAATTTACACCAGGAGAGTTGTCACATTCTAAGTACACGAAGGGGCGAGATGGGAAGGAATCTGCGGAGCCTAGTGTTTGGCATCCGCGTACGAGCAGGTATCGTGCTAAAGAATTATTGCGGCATAATGTAGCACGAAGATGTCCACTTTGAAGTTCATATTTATTTGTTTATTTAGTGGAGTATCAAGATCTACCTTGGAGATGTATAGTATCTCTTCATATCTCAATATAGAGGTATGAGAAATATAATAAATTGTTGTCGGTAAATATATGCCAGCTCAATCTCAACTTAAGTTTACTACGCAGGGCTACTAATGATGCGTCAGGCAAGGCCCCTTCTGTTAATCCCTCCGACGGAAGGTAATGCATCAACGTTTGTTCTCAATAAGGTTACATGAATCTTTTAAAGTGAGTAGTTTAGTTTTCGTCAACGTAGTTATTAGTTCCATGCACAGCTTTTCTGTTCCAGGTTCTGATAGCCGTCGTTCCTGAATTCGGAATCTAAATTGGTTCACTTCCAATGCAGATCTTCAGATTCACACGGTCAAGGAGACAACTTTGAGCCTGGAACCTGGCGACCATGAAACAGACCAGAACTAACCGCGCGTTGGTGGATACCTTGCATCCTCTTCTACGTTCCTCTGTATGGACCGATTCTTGAAGTACAGAGTACTTATCTGTTTAGCTTGGCATCAGGTCGATATTTTTTGGTGTCTGTGTACATTATTCTTCCGTGATTCAATATTTGTTCCTGCTAGGATCAAAACAGTATCCAGCTATTGAGTCTCCCTTCTTATTAGAGTGAGAGAGATCTTCCGCGAGTCTTTTAAACTGTGTTGCAAGACAGTTTTGTTTTTTTACACGTAAATTACAATGTCGGAGAACAGTCTGATGTAAACTGTATGCCATCGGCTAGGAGTTTTGGAGATTTGAGTATTCCTTTGAGTCTTTATGAGAGTTTGTCGAAATCGATAGATATCAGGAATATATTATCAACTGGTTTGTTAAGGATGGGGAATACGTCACCCAAGATATTAGAGTCATCAAGGTTAAGTGGTTTATAAAGAGAATGGAATATTTCATCTTGTATCTAAGATATCAGAATTATCAAGATCAAAGGCTGTAAATTAATAACTATTTATGAGCACTACAAGATTCTAGAGTTATGAAGCTCAAGTGGTTTATAATCAAATATGAATGAGGAATCTAGTATACGAGTCACCAAAATCATCAAATGGTTGGAAATTAAATGTGGAGTACATGTCATGTCCTATTATGTGTGATATCAAATTCAAGTAGTGTTCAATTAGAAAGAGCAACGTCTGTTCTGAGATATTTAAATATATTTTTCAAGATAAAGTCCTTCCGGAGGAAAAGAGTATAACATTTACATTTAATATTAGAAAAATAATGAATTCTCAAATTCATTTAGTATAAAGATGTTCTTAGTAGAAAGTAATAGAAGGTAATTTAATATTATGAAAGACGCGAAGGAGTTTACTGAAGCAAATAAAATTCCAATATAGATAACATATTTCATTTGTTATTGTATATTGGAAGTTGAAAATGAATGAGTTTCCAATTGTATATACTTGGGAAATCATATTGTATGCTTAAACTAAAATTAGATGAACATCAATGATAACACATTCCGGGGGAGTCTAACAAAGTCAAGAAAAATATAAATGTAGCATCTTACAAGCTACCATAAATTTTACTGTCTCGTGACAAACAAGGAGGTAGTAGGAGGACCCTGTAGTAACCTAATTTGTTTGATGGGACCATCAAGTTTAGTTTTATCCGGTGTACCGTTGATGGGGTCACATCGGCCCCACCAACGGCACACCGTCTTCAACTTATGAAAGGTGTTCTTATCCACTAAAGCTCGTATCATAAACGAGTTTGAGTGAATCTATGTGATCACAGATCCGTCTTCAACTTATGAAAGGTGTTCCTATCCACTAAAGCTCGCATCATAAACGAGTTTTAGTGAACCTCTGCGATCGTAGATCTCATAAAGATAAACTGTGATAAACATTGTCACAAGTGCACAAAGGTTTTGAACTGTCAGAAATTAGAGCTCGGTGTGCAAGGTGAGCAACAGGTAAATTTTGGTGCAATGGAAAAGTATAGGACGAAGAAGTGTCCGGGTCCGATTGCGTTGAGTGCAGATTTGAGCGACTCAATGAGGACGACAAGAAAGTCTACTTGTCACAGTTCCATTACCTGCATCGTCTGTTAATACTAGAACATGCATGACGTGTACCTTCAGAGTGGTATCATCAGGTAAACAAAACTTACCCGGTCCTACTAGACACATTACGTTCAGATAGGGTCCCATCAAGTAAATACCTTCACAAACAAGTGATAAATAGTGACTTACCTCCTTTTATAATGCTATTAGCAACTATTCCAAATCAGTGTATTGGTTCATCCATTTTAAAGCCTAGTGTCTTCAAGTTGTGTATTCAATATATTTTTCCCCTACAAATAGACACGAACATATTGTATTTGTAATTGTATTTGAAAATTTTAATTAGACCACAGTTAATTTAAATTTTCACATGTCACACAATAAAACATATAATCAAGTTATTTGACATCATTTCAGTGAGAAGTGAATCAGTTGACATTTGATCATTCTCAGTAAAACGATCATTTTTTGTCCAAGTTGACGAAGGCAATTGCTCTCGACCCAGGTATTAGCAAAACCCATTGAATTATAATAGTTTTATTTCTTGGTTTTTTAACAACCAAGAATTGAACTATTTAGAACAAGTTGAATACAAAGTATATTTTATTCGGTTAAGGAGTACTTCCAGTCTATATAGTCCAGCTTGCCCTCTAAATCTTCACTCTAGTACCACAAGAATCTCTACCCATTCTTCCGTGGCCATATGACTTGCCTATGTACCTGAAAGCAATACTTCCCTTCTAGCTTACTTGTGAGGCAACTTCAGAAATAAATCCTATTCTTCCCGGTTGAGTACAGCAACCTAAAAAGTCTTCCGTATTTACCTATCAAAGCCCCATATATTATTTTCTGGTGATGAATTTAATTGAATGTCAACGAACGTATTTTACATATCACGTAGTTCATGTTTGGCTAATAGTTAAGATTTTTGCATTCCTCACATTCCACCCTACATCCATTTGTTCCTCGAAACCCTATGGACAAGAGTAATCATTGAATCAGACTCGACAAGAATATTCCTCAATTATGTGGTGAGTTCCTGGGTATAAGGTATTATGTGACTAAATTGGGGCTAAAACAGAAAACAAATTTGGTGATGGTTCTTTCAAGGTGGTGTAAGTACAATTGGAGTGTACGTTGAATGCCTACTTTGATCCCGCTAATGGCAAGTTTGACGCTTTTCAAGACTTGAAGTCAGAAATCGGGCCAACCTTAGTAGATCAGCTCCGACTTAAAATAGACTTGGAATTAGTAGGCAGATATGCTTGGTGTCTGAGAGCATCATCGAAGTTTAACCAAATACAGTTATTACAAGAACGCGAAGTGGATATTTGACCTTCCCGAAGGGGTCTGATTGTCAGTGCGTTCCATGAGTGACTTCCAACATGACCAACTTACACTTCAAATGAACAATCATATCTTTCAGGCATACTACAAATCTACAGAACGAGTAAGTGTGTTAAAAATGACCACGAGGGCACCTGATCCGAAAACAAGAAAAGCTCAAAGAAACTTGAAGAATCTCTTGATGTGACAAGATGTCTTCATAACGGTAATTTGATCCACAGAGTGGATGCAATTTGACTGGGGAAGCCAGAACTTTATTCTCGAGCTCCCTCCCTCCTTAGAAATAAGAATGCCACTTCATGACCTTATACACGGGTTCGAGTAGACAGATTTATCAATTACAAAATTTGTGTTTGAACTTCAACTTTTGAAATGAAGCAACAGAAAGCTGGTACTTCTGCTGTCTCTCGATGTTCATGGTTGGAGTCGGTAGTCCTACACTTAGCTACATGCTAAACTAAGGGTGCAATCTGTACAATGTTATACAACACCATCTATCAACACTTCCAGATGTGAATCGACTTACAGATCCCCATACCATCTGGTGTGAAAACACTCTACACAAGTATAGGATTACTCAAGATATATAAGCCTTGGATAGCTCAACGAAATTGCAGCTATGTCCTGTTCTCGGACATGTAATTCTGCCCTGGTTGTTCTTGGCCATCTCCTCCATGGCCTGTTCCAAGGAACAGAATCAAACAAAGAGTTAGCCAAAGATGTACTAAAAAAGCCAGGCGCTTGGTGAGCAGGTGTTGCGATGGCCGTCGAAAACAATGCACGACACAAGATGACAAAAAATGTGATCAACAAAGCAAATTGATAAACATTCCAGTCCTCACACACGCCAGTATGAGTCCGCTAGATGAAACTCTCGTATTTAATAAAGCGCAGTCGACTTCTCAAAAATAACACTACACTCTTCCTCTACACAGATGACACGGGTGATTTCTTGAGCTAGACGCTGTATCTTCTCTTTTAGATTCGTTGTGGATATCGAGGTGTAGTTTTTCAGGTTGAAAATAGACGTGAAACACTGCAGAACTCAACTTTGAATGAGAAGCTCTGGGTCTACATTAATAGGTGAGCTTCTCATTTCTTAGCTATCTGCATTGACTGTTACTCATTCTGCCATGCTACTCTACATTGGTCGTTAAGAGCAAGAAACAATACTCACATGACAATGCTTTCGGGTTCTAGCAATAGTTTCACCATCCATTCTAATTGTGACCTTCCAAAGCACAAGTCATAAAAAAAAACCGTAGCTTATGCAATGTAACAACAGCATACCTTTCTGCTATATACATAACCATTGGGTAGAACTAACGGAGGGTTATCTTCGTTCATGAGCTCTTTTGAGATGAAGCAAACAAGCTTCGAGTGTACGTGCTTTGAGAACGGCAACGGTTCTGCGAGCTGCCTGAAACTCTCCTGCAACAAAGGATCTTCTTTTGTGCATCCTTCTTCGTAACAAGACCTTTTCAAAAAGTTAAAGGATTGTACAACTGGTGAACTTTTGAACATACAATCTATTGCACGATGAACGAGCCATTCCAAATTAGAAGATTAGCCTGAGCTAGAGGTCATATATCCTGCGACATTCTCTAGTATTCTCTAGCACACAAGAATCGAACTCAACAGAATGGACCCAGGCTGCATGTGGTAGACACGTTAAAAAAGATACGGCGTTTTCAGGGCAGACAACCCGGCCTGCAGGTGGATGTTGAGAAGTGGCTCCATCGTCATGCCGTACAACTTGTAAAACTCCTGTGTGAATTGCTGAACGAGATTGTCCCATTGCTTTACATCAAATAATATCTGCTGACCACGCAAACCACAGACGCGATATCAAGCCGTACGTAATCGAACACCATAAACTAAAAATAGGTTACTCAAGGGATGAATATTTCCATCAGCAAGAGTATGAAATGTACCCTAATGTCATCCATACTTGCACTCTGCAATTGACATGACAAGAAGTGCCCACTGCCGCCTCCCTCTTCAGCTTTCTGTTTATACACTTCCAAAGCAGGTGAGGGAAGTGATTTTCAATTACCAATTTTCTTGTGAGTTGCACAACAATTGCACAGGTCGGACATGGATAGGCGGTGCCCGGTTGCAGAGAGCGCTTGGATTGTCGCGACCATTGCACCTCTTTCCAAGTGCACTTCTGATCCAGCCTCTTATATGTTCACATCCACATGACATCTACATATTCCAATTCCCGTTGTTCCTTCCTATTATGATGTCTCATGTCTGGCTCGAGACGGTAACCTCTAAATTTACGTTCTGAACTCACAATGATGCGCTTATCACCATAGGTCACGGAACACAAATGGAGAGAAATAACAAGCACTATGGGAGCTTGACTTGGGCGAATGCATTCAAAAAGACCGATGCTCCTATCCACTCTTCCCGGTGGATAGGAGCATCGGTGGACTCGAGCTGTTCAATGAAACTTGTGCGGTAGAAGTTTCAGGTTCCACAATCAGACGATCTTAGACATTACAATGAAATTATTGGGACTGTAGCTCTTGGGCAGATGACTTCGGGCTAGATCAAACTCAACCAAACGAAGCTTGATTTCTTTTGCCGCTTGACGATTCGATCTTGACATTCACCTCCATTGCATACCAGACAAACCAGAGAGTGGAGGTGCATTCACCGCAAACTGAAGTCCACTGAAAGTCATACCTTATAGCTGGCACAGTCGGTATTACTCTTGAAGGCAAGAGTGGCCATAGCCTGCTGCAGCTCTTTCATATTGGTACTTCCCCACGGGGCGAGATGTTTACGAGCATACATAATGGCCTCCATCATCTTCTCAGAGCGCACTAATTCAATGAACTCTTGAAGCCTCAACTTGAACTCGAACTTACTCTGGCAATAAAACCCCAGTTCAACAGCTACTCCGAATTAGAGACGGAGCAAGAGACAGTGTGATAAATATGAGTCCTTATGCAAACCTCCCATGACTATAGCACATGCTAGTGACATCAGAATCTAGTTTGCTTGGTAATTAACAAGGTTCACAGGGAAAAACCACTCTACGAAGAACCCAGCTACAGATCAAGCAAGACATCATCGTGACTATCCCATTGATCCCTTTTAATCCCACAGGTTGTTACGTATAAAAAAAGCTTCAGATAAAAGGATTCGGCACGGCACGGCACGAAAGTACGGCACCGTGCGAACACCATCGCACGACGACCAGACACTAGCCCCAGCTCCGTCAATAAAAGGACGGGTGTGGGTCAACGATGATAATTTTAGATTACAATGGGTCAAGGATGATGCTCACCAAGAATTTTCAGTACTTTAGTATTTTTATTTTTTAAACCCGATACTTCTCCACCATGTAGGAAGTATTTAAGAAAGAAATTCTGGTCAAAAGGAGCATCACCATGCTGGCATCATATTTGCTAGTAAAACAAGATGCATTCAAAACGATATACCTTTGCCTTCTTCAATTTTGACTTATTTTCAGCACACCAGGCAAGAGCCTCTGTACAATCTCTGTTCTCAAGGGCCTCAAAAACCTTTCTCGCGTCCAAGAAAATGTCAATGTCTGCAAGGTCCTGCAAAAAAAACCCATCAAATCAGTAATCTGAAGAGTACATAACATCGTAACATTTTGCCATATTTTTCATCTTGCAGTAAATACTGCAAGATGTGGGTAGTAAATGCCAAAAGATTATTCCAGCTAGAGAAGGAGAGCTTATTACAACTACTGGTTTAATAAAGAAACGAACATGGATCTAAAAGTATCCAGATTTGTGTGGAAGGCATTGTTCCATGGCCAACTTCACATAACTTGTAGAAGTTGGTTACTCACAAAAAGAATGAATCATTAACAATTGATACTCTCATTATTATGATTCTCAAACAACCGTTAAAAAGATTTGATTAGAGTTCGTTTACAACCAGGACTTATCGTCTATCTCTTGCTTGTCTTGAATTTGGAGCCATTGTATATACATTGCAGTTGAAATACTGCAGTAAATTGCAACGCGCATCGGAAGAAACTCAGACCATCTACATAAATAAACTGGATATATATGCTGAGTCTCACAACAGGAAATGAACTGTGCGCAAAATATTCAACTTTCTCATGGAGACGTGTAGTCAAAACTGATGATTCAATAACGCAGTTAATGCAAAAAGAGCGGCCACCATCAGATCATGTTTAAAAGCCACTCTGAACTAGCTAAGAAAGTCAAGAAATCCCTATTATGGTTTATGTAAAGGATGATGGAACATCCGTATCAACCCGACCTCAAGCTAACTCGGGATGTCTCGAGTCTCACCAATGGCTCCTATCAGTCGATCCAGCCTCCCTTCTGGTTGGCTGAGAGCTTGCAGCATGGGAGATTGCTGATTGATAAGACACTACCTTTACCATCAGTACGGCTAGTAAAATGGATGCTGCTCTTGAAAATAAAATCCAATCTATCTTGTGTATGTTCCCATAAGTCATTTGATCACGCAGATTTGTTATCTTGATGTTTTGAGAGCTTATCTCGGTTCAGTAGTTTGACCCACTTACATAGATACACAGGCTAGGTGAGACGTACAATTCAAAACCTTCACGATGACTTGCCCCAGTAAGATAGAGCAATATTGCAACCCAATCTTTTTGCTCTGGCAATATATATAGATGGAGTTTGTTTCCGACAATGTGATGCCTCGTGATGCTCGCCAGCCGAGCTAAACGCCACTAGATATACACAAACCTCTCCACGAAGTAGAGTAAAGTTACTCATACAACGTCCTTACAACAAACAAGGACTATATTGCACGGGCCCTACTTCTAAGAATTTGGGGCAAACAACGCAAAAGTGTATTCTACTTTCTACGTTTGTACAAAGGACAAACAAATAGTTGCAAAGTCTTCCAGAAGAATTACGTTTCTCCAGCAAACTTAAGACTTTCATATCCAAGTACTGATTAAATCTTACCAGGGATGGTAGTTGGGAATGTAATCACGATGATTAAAATGATTGCACAGTTGGAATAGAGATGGGATGGGATGGGAGAGAAGAGATGGGAACTCACGTCAATGGAGGTGTTAGCAAAACATCCGATCAAGTCCAAATTTACGAGCAAAAACAACCGAAGCGATGCGTGGAAGAAAGTGGAAGTGAGATAATCCCACAGAACCAATGTCGACGAACAAGCGACATAAATTGTACGGACGTCTAAATCTTGCAGTACGACCGTCAAGCGCTGACGTAGATCCTATCGATGCTGGTTGTAGGAAGCCACATATATTTTGCAGAATGCAGGTTCAAGCCAGGATTATTATGATGGTGGCACTGGCAGTCGTAGGATAAACAATCTAACAATATACTTCTTCTGAGCTTCTTGTCGGGAGCAGGACACGTGGACGGAGCCAGCACAGCAGTATTGTTGAAACAGAGGAGAAGGAGAAACTCGTCATTCGATTCTGGGATCCCTGTACGAAACGACTGATCCCAAGGAGCTCATGTTACGTAGTTAGAAGATCAAGCTCTATTTTCAGTGATGTTTCATCGCTGATCTGGTTATAGCGTCAGCTTGCAGTGCTCATAAATGTCTGTGAGAAGCTCAATGTAGGTTCGACCAGAACAATATTAAAATTATGGACTTGAACGAAATCTTAAACAAGAATAATATGAGGCGCAATTATCCAGTGAATAGATGTTGTTTCAACAACCTACTTCGATACGGCACAATTACATAGAAGTGACTCCAGTAAGTTATGCGAACATATGAATCGTTGACAAAAAGTGGTTTGAACGCACGAACCTATATATAAATGAGTAAGGGAGGCAGAAGACGAAAACTAGGGTTATAACCAATCAAATGTTGCATATAATGGCAAAGGGAGCATAAAATCCAGGACAAACAAAAGAAAGGATAATTAAAGACAATCAATGAAGAGAACAAGGTATTTTTTATCATCTAAACGGCTGCATATATTATGCGTAGATAACAATACGGTGGGATTTATGAGAAGGTCCAACAAATGAACAAAAAAGAAAACCTGTGCATATAGCTGTTTACCCTCGCACTTCAATAGACGCGACATGTAGATATCTTACAGTCAAAAAAGAAAGGGGAGTGCCACTGCTTGTTTCATTTAGTTGGCCACGCAGGTCCGAGCTTTCTTGGAATTCGTGATTTGCAGTGCAGACTTTCATGAGACTACACATCTTCACGGTCAGATGTGTAGTCCCATGGACATCGGCGTTGCAAAACGCCTGTTATGTGGAAAAATCTTTAGATGTGTAGTTACACGAAAGTCAGCACTGCAAAACACGTGTGTTATGATCAACACTCAAAAGTTCCCAGTGTGAATTTCGGTGAAGCACAGATATATGACGAAGATCACCTGTATGTTGGCCGATTCTGCAAGCTTCACTGCGGTGTCATAGTAGGATGAACGCAGCATATAGTCAACCAAAATACGCTCCACACGGGTATGATTCCACTTTAATTGGGCTTCCTTGGAGCCAAATCTCAGAATACTTAGGTGGTCCAGACGTGCTCGACAACGCTGAACTTGTCCTTGCTCGTTCTTGTTACTCTCATCTAACTGCAACCGGCAAGAAAATCCGTCATATCAGACACAGGAAGATCAAATTTTAGGCTTAAACTGCTGTATATGTACAGCCTGTCTCTGATAGAAGCAACGGAAGTATGCAGTAAAAGCTGCATGTTGTCGATCTGCCATCATCAAGAGCACAAGTGCGCCTTCTGTCAAATTCCACAATACGTCAATGTACATGTTGAGGTAGATGTTGCGGCGATCCACTGTGATGATGTCTACACCTCCACTGGCAGAGGACGCCTCAAGCCATATTTCTTGCAGGAGTGCAGAACAGGGGAGAAACTGGACCACCTATGTTGCAAATTACGACTGGCAGAGCCGGAGAGGGGAATAACGAGGAGTGGATTTCGATAGATACTGCCTGTCATCTTCACATACCTTGCGTTTGAGGCCCTGCAAACGAGAAACTAGTGATGTCAGATGCTGAACTGCCTCTTCTTTCGACATTTCCTTGTCCACCGCTTCAGCAACGCCGGCAACGACGGCACTCACTTCCTTCTCCACAAGACGAGTGGTAGCACGCATGGACTTTTTGAGGTGCTCATACGGCACCCTCACGAGTTGGTGTTCCAACTTCACCGACTCCGACGGATGGTCATTCAGGCGCAAGGCAGGAGAAGGACCGGGCGTGGAAGCCGGTGTAATTCCATTGGATGCAGTCTCTCCATCCATCATCTTAGCTCTACAATCGGCCCGAGCCTCGTTCCCAAAAACCTGACGCTCTGCTCGCCCTCCAACGCCCTGACAAATTCTCCCAACGAAAAGGCTCAATCACCAGTTCGCTCCTCGCGAGCTCGAAAGACTACCAAATCCCATGGAAATGCATCTGCATTGTCCTTCGGATCGATTCAGCACCATTTACCCAACCCCCTCCAAAGATTGGATAGGACAGTGAGATCGACGTACACCCTTCAGACGTCCTCCTCATCATCCGAATTTTGAAGACTCACAAATCCCTTCCCCCGAGGGACTGTCTCGATCAGACCTACCACCGACCAATAAGCCTCCTCACCTGATGCGTTCCTCCTCCTCGACCTCTCGTGCACCGATGGGCACAAATGTCCTCGTTCACACTCGGGGCCGAAAGCCGTTTTCCAGTCTCTCGGAATCGCTCCTTCTGCAGATGTTCCGAGCTTCTAACACATCACCTCTGGAGGTGAAGTAAGTGTATGAGAGAGAGAGAGAGAGAGAGAGAGAGAGAGGTGGTGTGTCCAGACGAGACGAGCTTGTATTGTGAGTCAGTGCAAGCAACAGACAAAGGGCCAAGGAACAAAACGGGTTTCTCCCTCGTATGGGGGCCTATGACGTCCCCACAGGCAGACAGAGAGGACTCGGGAGTGGCCTGGACTGCACCGAACCTGCTTTTCTGAGGTGGCATTCCTTTTGCTTTTCCTTGGCACTCCTGACCCGTCCCATATTCTCTGACTTTCCCACCTCGAGCTGACGCTCCTCTCAGCTCCTTCCCCACATCTTGGACATTGCCCACTCCACCTTGTTCCCATGCTTTTGAACATGTCGATGGAGTCTTCTGGCGCCGCCCCCGCATGAATCGACGGAACGTGAAAAGAGGAAGGAATGTTGAACCTTTTCCACGCATTTATGAAGTGTTTCTATTGTTTGGGACGGACTTCTATCATTCATTTCGGTGTCATTATTTTACCTCGAGTGTGCAGCATTCGGAGCTTCTGGTTGTAGCATGGGGCTTTTGAGAGCGCCCGATTTTTTTGATCATCTGTTTCCGCCGAGGATCACGTTGTCCTCTTGATTTCCACCATTTTACATGATGAACGTGTGAGAAATAAGCATCATGAGACACTTTCCCTTCATCCATAAACCAAGGACTCTTTTATTTTTCCTTTCCACTTACTTTTCAAAGCAATTTCTTCTTGCCTCCCAACTCATCACTTCAAAAGTGACGTTGGAATGATGGACAATATGTCCATATTGAACAGCAATCTACGATCAGATTGTAAATTCTCTTGTAAACCCATTAGTGCCGACTCCGCAGATTAGAATTCTAGTGCTTAAACTCTATCCACTTATGAAAAAATCTCCTCTCGATTTGAAGACATTCTAAATGACGAGAGTCACCTCTTTGATCCACGCCTATACCCATCTCCCAGTTGCACCTAATGTCTTTTTACGAAACATCCAAAAACTTGGCTCCATCTTCTTTGGATTTAAACCCATCCAACAAACAAGAGTCGACAATCGACTATAAAGTCGAAATCGACATGCACTATAAAGTCTGACGCATCGTTCTCAACATCCTTGCAAATAAATGATCCACCCAATAAAGCATATTACGAACAAACAATGGCATTCAAAATCAGCAAACACACATCATCATTATCCGTGCATGCATGCCTGGCTTTTGTCATGCACTTTTATTTCTCGCTTGAGAAATGGCACAGGCTTGCAAAAGCGTCCATCCGCTACTCAACCTCAAGAATGCTTCAAAGCCTCCATATACTTTACAACAAGAAACAGGAAGTATTCAGAAAAAACAGCATACAAAAAATACGTCATATCATTAAACTGATTAACTTTTAGCTATCATAGTCATTAAACCGAGACCTTTTTCAAATAGGTACTCTTTTGCCCTTGTACAAGGGGCCAACTTCCCACAATCTCTATCTAGATTCTTTGCTCTTCTGTTCCACAAGCTCTTCTCAGATTTGCCGTTTCTAAAAGAGAAATCAAGCAGGTTTCACTGTCTCTAACGCTAGACCATAAGTACGAGAATTCATGTGCGGTATGGAAAGTATTGGCGTCATAAGAAACCTTGGCATTAGATCCCAAGAGGTCGGTAGTGGCGCAACAGTTCGTGGCCTTCCAATCGAGTTAATCCTCCTCTTTCTTGCCTTCTGTAGGCTCTTCCTCACGTAAAGAGGCCAAAGGGATCTCCCGCTCTCTCTTCTCCTATCTCCTTTCCATTCTTCATAAGATGTAGTAAGATGCTAATTGTCCGAATACAACTGGAACCATAGAACTCACGTCTGGAAATCTCATCTTGGTAAGAACTTAAGTGAAACGTGACGGCGTTCAAAGAGGTTCAACATAAAACACGGAGAGTCAGATTCCAGCATCAACAGACTGCAATAAAGATGTGCAGTAAAAGACTTTCAACGAAGAGGATGAGCGTGCAAAATTTGGGACGTCTGCTGGCACAAAAGACTTGACAACTGATCATGACAACTCTTTGGACTTTTGAAATTCGACATGCTCTCTGGAGTCTGGACCCAATTGGAACTTGTGAAACGTTTGATATTTCCTGGTCGTCGATCGGACATTGCTTTTTTCTGCGAGGCTTTGTGATCTTCGTGCTACAGATCCTAATGCATCGCGTTAGGGAGCTCATGTTGCAGTCGTTTGATGCATCTAGTTTCTGCTACATCGTAGTGAGACTGTACACATTTGCTAAAGAATCTATATTGCACATGTGACGAAATTGTGTTAACAGAGGCTTCTGTCTAGAAGAACTCTGAGGGTGACTATTTGGTCGCTTAACCTCCTGAATGATACTCCGTACACGCAGTGTCTACTGTACCACCGGGTGCTGCGTGCTTCCTCTAGCTGATCATCATCCGTCTGCTAGCTCGAACTCAGTCTTGCGAAACCTGCCACATAAACAGGGCAGGAAAAAACTGATAAGATCCTCTTGCCTTTTCGAGCAACCCTTATGTATATGCTAGAGGCATGTGATGAATTAACTTAAACCTTTGCTCACCGGGTAGGTCCGTTGAGTAAGAGCCCAAAAGCCATGACACATCCTGCCAGAGTAAAAGATCAAGAGAGTGTTCTTGATCCCGCCAGATCCGTGTTTGTTCTTCTCTTGGTGATGTCTACCACGAGTCTGAAGAAAGACAGCAAACTGGGTAGAATAGATTCACCATCTCGTGGCAATCTTCATGTAGATGCTCTCAAGTGCTGCTGCTGACAAGTTCACCCGTAACGGTCGAGCTTCCAATCGGGACAGCATTTAGATCCGGTCAATGGATGGACTCTCCAGTGTAACGTATATCTCCAAAAATGCTCAGAGTGGACACTGTCTAAATCTAGACGTGTTATTCAGAGCAAGGAACCGGATAGCTGCTTCATCATATGCACAAGGTCCTTTTCATATGAGTACTGACTACGATGCTACTCTAACTGACAGGTAAAAGGAATGGTGTCATGGAGACAATTTACTAACTCATGGTCTTAAAATATAGTTGATCGATTAAAGAACTGCAACTAATCTGAGGTAATGGTTGATTGAAACTCCAGAAGAGGTCCTATCAAGCTTAAGGATGTGTAGAAGACTGGATCTCGGTGACGAGGAACGCACAGGACTAGCCCATACCGAGCAGCTTCTCCAAAACCCCTGTGACCTTCAACCGTTGGTAAGGTCTACCTTCTGACAACCTGCAGAGATTTACTTACTAGGTCCCCTCGTACTTCCCCAAACAGTCATGTACTGGGCAGTATATTGGGATTGAGACCTGTGTTCTGTCCGGTCCACAGTTGGCTCGTTTGGTGCAGAGCACATATTCCGGTGATCAGGTCGTTGCACTGAGACTGAAATTTTGGAACCAAAACTGTGCCAATGCAAAAGGAAAATCTCTCTTTTCTTCAGTCTGAAAGTGGGAGAAACTGTACTTCAGAGTTCTCGTCTGTCTATCTCGCCAAATCATCTCAAGTCGTAGCCTAAATAGGATATAGCATGCCGTCCTAGAAATCTTTCTCTGTCTCTGCCCGCATCGATGTGAGAAGGCATCCTCTTCATGTTCCTCACAGCATCCCGAGAGGACATGATCTGCAGCGCTTTCTCAGCATCTTCCCGTGCTCCTTTTTCATCATTCAGCAAAAACTTTACATAACCTCTATGTTTTATGGTTTCGTAATCATCACTAGTCAGTTCCAACGCTCTCTCCAAGTCGTTAAGTGCACCTTCCAGGTCTCCGGTCAGTTGCTTCAGTATTCCCCTCTCTTGCCAAAGAATAGCTATCAGTGGTTGAAGCTCCACAGCCTTATCAGCATCCAGAAGCGCTCCTTGGTAATCCTTCAGCATCGCTTTCGCAAAGCTTCTCCTCCTGATATTCAAGAAGGAGTTCATATGTATCATGTATGGTAAATACTAGAGCGATTACTTGTCAATTGAAAGCAGTAATCCGAGACTTCAGTGGAATGAAGTGTACGAACGTGCGCTTACCTCATGAAAAATGTATCCAGTGGTTTGAGTTCTCCAACTTTGTTAAGGTCTGCCATGGCCTCTTCATACATTTCCATCTCCATCAAAGCCTCGCCTCGGCCGTAGCAAGCTTGAATGGCGTGTAGTGTCGTGCCTTTGGATTGATCTGGATCCAAAAAGGTGAAGGCCCTTGCCGCGTGCAGCTGTAAACTCGGGAGGACTTCCATGCCCAGAAAATCCAATAGCCTGTCCACAAGACCCGGACTCGAAGAAAGAATTACCCTGTTTCTAGGAGCTACAGCGAGGTTGGCCAAAGCCTTGAGAGCTTGATGTTGCACTTCTTCACTCACTTGCTTTGCCAGTAACGCCTGGAGGTTTTCGATGGCACCTGGTGTTGCAGCAATGCTCAACTTCTGTGCTTCTCCCTGCGCAGCGAGATTTGCCAACGCTCTTGCCGCATGCTGTTGCAGGTCGGCAGTAGAATCTCTACAAGCTAACAACCCAACCAACACGTCTACTGCTCCTGAGAATGCAACTACATCTTCATTCACCTCCAAGAGTGTTGCTACCAGCCCCACCACAGACGTTTGAAGATTCTTGGTCATCATCACATCCTCAGTCAGCATCTTCTGGAAAGTCTCTAAAGTCTCAGGTAGGAGGAGGATTATTCTCCTATTTTCCTGAGCCAATGCAAGGTACTCCAAAGCTACCGCTACTGCCTCTTGCACATGATGATTCTCATCTATAGATATCAACCTGATCAGGTTCGGGATGGACTCAGGGATAGCTCCGATTCTCACTTTATTCTCGTAAGAAAGAGCGGCGAGTCCTGCTAGAACTCTCGCAGCCTGTTCTTGCACCTCTGGGTTCAAGTCATCGTCCAGCAATTCCACCATGGCCTTCAAGTTACCTGGGCAGTCTGCCAAGTCCAGAGTTGCTTCATTCGTCCAGGCAAGGTTCGCCAGGGCTCGCACTGCATACGCTTTTGTCTCCCCACTCACATCCCTGTCACGGGATAGTTGCACAAGCCTGTCGACGGCTAGTGAGTACGTTGCGATGTCCGCATGAAAGCTGCTCTGGATACATGTCATCCTCGCCATGGTGTAGGCAGCTTCCTTGGAGACGAAAGTGTCGAGGAGCTCGACAAGGCCTTCCAGCATTCCAGGGTACCCTCCTATTAGGGTTATACTTTCTGATGACTGGGCCAAGTTTCCTAATGCCACCAATGCGCTCGCTTGTACAACAGGATTGAAACTCTTGTCCAGCAAGTCCACCAATCTTTCCAGGATCAGCGGGTGTGCCAGTATGATGTCGTAGTTTCTCACTGCAAGGGCGCCCAAAGCAGATGCGGCTGCTTTCTGGTCACTGGGAATGGCTTCTGTGGTCAGCAGGGTCAGCAGACCATCCAAGATGCCTGAGCCGCGAGGTTTCAGCAAGCGTTCTGAACTGATGTTTGCTATGGCTTCAATGGTCGTGCAAGCGGCCGCAGCTGCTAGTGGTATGGCCAAGAGTCCAGTGATGCTTTCGTCATCCAGGTGTCCTTGAGAAACAAAGCGTAGGAATGCCTGCAAACAGCAAAGTGATTCAAATTTGAGCTGGCAAGCGCCATCAATCCTCTCTTAGAACAAGGAAGAGCTTAAACTGAAACTGGTCCATAACTCATAGTCATCTGTTAAATAGACCACAAGGCAGCTGACAAGATCTACAAAGCCCGGACGCCTCAGGGTCCAGGCAAACTGCAAGCGAATGCTTGATCAGTCAGGGCATACATTGTGGGCACTGACCATTGAGAATTTACTCTTGGCTAGTTTTTCCTTTCTCATCACTGATGGTAGACAAACAGTCCGAAGACAGAGTTGCTTGCTTCTTACCTGCCTGGCAAGGCGATACGCCCTTCGCTTCCAGTCGACTTGAGGTTCCACATCCAGAAGCCACATGATCGGTTCCATCGCAATTCGCCTAACCTCCCCTATGTCAAATCGCACTTTCAACTTCTGGAACCCTATCTCAGACACCTTGTCATCGCCGTACAGAGCACATACAGATGCCAAGAGTCTCTCCTCTTCAGTGTACAAAATTCCATCAAGTTGGTCGCTTTCTCTGAACATGCACTCCATGATCCAAACGAGTTCTGAACGCCTCTTTTCAAGAGTGAACTTCTTGCGCATAGTGTGGACAGACCAGCTAGTGTTAGTAGAATTCTTGTCCTGAATCCTTACCAGGTCTCGTTCTTCCAGGAGCTTCTTCCACTCGTAGAATCTGAGCAGGCGCCCGACGTGTTTCTTAAATAGCATTTTCAGCACCACCTCCGGAACAGTGGGTCCTCTGCAAGCTGCAACCAAGAGCAGAAGCGTTTTGGGCTCATCGGGTAGACTGTTTAAAGCCATAGTCATGGTGCACGGAGCGCACTTTGGATAATTGGACTGTAAACCGAAGGTCACCACATTCTCCTTGAAGATCAAATCTAGCAGATTTTCCTTCGCTGCTCTCCACTCCTCTACGTCTTCCCTCCTCTGCCTGCTAATGGTCATTGCAATGTCGGTTAAGAGCAGAGGATTGGAGTCCAACTTTTGTATGATGTCATCCGCTATTTCCTGCAGACAGATTCTCCTCTTACGATCCAAGTATGGAAGTGTGACTCTTTGAACTTCATGTGCCCATCAACCAAAATGGAAACTACTGAACCTGCTCTGTGTTACATCATCAAAGTCTAAACTACTTGCAAGGACAATTTTCTTCTTCAAACGTCCTGACTAGCAACAGATCTCATCTGCAGTAGACGATCAGAACTCAAACCTGTAACAGTATCGACTCATGTGCTCAAAGTAGAGTACTCTGAAGTTATACGACAGCAGGGAACGCCAATCTCAAGCATGCACCAAGAAGCACATACCTCCATGCGTGGTGGAATCTGGCCCCAAGGCATGCCAATGTGATTAGCAAGGAGTTGGCGAGCGTCTCGGGGTTCCATGTTCTTCAACTCAATGACGTCCACGTCTGTCATGCGGTCCCAGAACTCCTTCTTCAGCTCGGACGTGACCAAGTACTTGACTCCCGGTGCTCCTGCCACCACTAGCCGCTCGAGAAATTCAACTTCTACCACGTCGTCTACGATTACCAGTAGATTCTTTTCTCTGAGCCAAGTCTGTAAGCGCCGGCGGATTTCCAATCCCTTGGGAAAATTCATGCCGTTGCGGCCATGATCGAGGACCGCAATCGATCCCCCTGTCGCTTGCAAGAGCTTCATGTGCTTCGCAAGAGTGTCAGCTCCGACTCCGGCATCCAGATACACGACCCCATCCGGAAATCCTTCGAATGCCTCGGAATTGCGAAACTTCGCCCCCGAGGTGAGGCTCAAGTCCAAGTCCAGAGGCTCGCTCTTTCTCTGATACTCGTTGGCCAGATGTCGGACGAGGCTCGATTTTCCCAGCCCTGGCCCTCCGTGGACTACCACAATGCGAGGTCCGTCCGGATCCTCGATGGCATCTCGGACTTCCTCGAGGATCTCTTCCTGCTTGACGTACCTCTCGTCGGGACGAAGGCGAGGCGTTGTGTTCACATCCCAAAGATCTAAGCTCCGAGATCTGTCGATGAGCAGCGTGTCAAACTCTGTTATGACCCTCTGCACGCACTCTGTCAAATGTGGAGAGAATTCCACCGGCTTGTGGCCCGCCCAGCACAACAAGGCCGTGCTGTTGCGACGTTTCTCCAGCCGCTTTTCTTCCTTTCCCAGCACGCCCAAGGACGCTCGCAGCACCTTGTGAATACTGGATTCGCTGCCCACTCCGTTGGTCAGCAATTCTATCCATTCGGGCTCCTTATAGTGGAGCTCGTCGATCTTCGACGCAAAGTCGTCCAATTGTGGGCTCTTTTTGTAAATGCCAATTCCCAAGTTTAGAAGAGATTCCCCGAGACTATGCACTGCTGCTAACGCGTGTACGGTGATACTAGCTGCCATGATCCTGTCGAAAACTCTGAGGCGCTCAGAGTTCTGGACTTTGGAAATCTTCAAACCAACAGCCAAATTCCACACAATTGGAGCATCCAACACCATGTACAAGGTGGTTATCTGTCTCGAGCTCCATTCTTAGATTTCTAGAAGACAAATCAGCACACAACCATTATATCTGATGCCGGTCGATATCTAGCACAACGCCTAAGCTCTGTAGCAGACATTCGGGGAATAATTCCTCATGTGACCGACCACTTTCGATCTTCGGTTGCGAAACATCTCCATAGCGAAGGAGGGAACCTCGATCCTTGAATGGATTGAGTGAATTCAACAGGACGTCGGGAGTGCAGTTTACGATTGATGAGACAATCAATCTCAAATCCGGGTCTTGGACTTCTCATCAAGCGAGTTGATCAGAACCTCGCAGCACAAGAAAGCGTTGACCGACTGCTCTTAGAGCCCTTCCGTTGCTGTCGCATTCTTGCAGTGGACATCCGACAGGAATTGGTCTACCCACGGGATTCCACTGAAGCAGCTGGCGGGTTGCCCTTCAAACGCTCCTCTGCCAGCGTCGAACGTTTTATGGGCCATTTGCTTTCCATCTCCAAAATCGGACGCGACTCCTCTGGACTGCATGGGCATGTCCCCGAGCTGCAGCTGCTTGCTCCGTCCCATCTGCTTAACGGAGCTGTTGCCAAGGTGTTGGCAGCACTGTTCGACTTGGGGACGTGGGCTAGCTCCGTAGAAAATCCAATCATAGAAAAAGTAGGTTGATGCTCGTCGTTGACATAGGCTGACATAGTCAAAGCGAGCATCGAGAAGTAACCTTTTCTGTACTCCATTCGAACATCAATCGCTTTCCAAGGGTTGAGCTGGCTCTCGTCCACAAGTGGTGCTGGACTTGGCGCTCCCGGATCTCTCGGTCTTTGCATTATTATTATAGTAGGTTCTCTCCCTGTCAGCCTCTGTATTGTGATCGAAGGTCCACAGTGCAATTTGCAGTTTTCATCACTTTGCGCCTCAGTGTCTGGGTGCTACACCGACTGATTCTCACGGAAGCTGTCAAGGTCTCAAGTCATGGAGCTCAAATTTGCTGTGCAGTCTACGCTCAGGTGCACCTGTCCGCATGTTCCCCGTCGCTTGCAGTTGGGGAAACAATGTTGTTAACACCCCACCTTCGGCTGCCCCTGTACACTGCTCCCTCAATGCTCTGCACCCATCCTCGCGTATACTCGGCAGATGCCTGGGGCTTATGCCTAGTTTTCTGCATGCTCCTTGTCCAGCGGGGGCTGCACGCATTGTCCACGGCGATGGAAACTCACGCAATTCCTTCCGATGAGACTCGCAGTCCAGGCTCGAATCTCATTTTGAGCTCTAATCCCGCAACCTACTTCACCATCAGTACCACTCTGATTGCGTCCCAGTAATTAATTAAGCTAAGCGATTGAAAAAACCAGTCCCATTGAGGAATGTCGCAGTCGGTGGATTTTCTGACATGTCCCTGACAGCGGGAGTCCTGCCCTGTTCGAAACCTCATCGATTTTGAGTTGCAGCATGTAATGAATGGCTCGAGGTGCGCTCCAGGTTTCGAGTACCGAAGTTCATAATATAGTTGATGTTGCCAACGGTCTTATTGCCACTTTCTTTTTACGGGTGTTTGAATGGGCCCCACATGTCATTCATTCTCATATATGTCGTCCGGGCTCTGTTTGCAATCGTACTCTCTCGTCGATCAGTACAAAAGTACATCTTCTCTTGAACTGTACCCGAAATTCCTCTTGGCCTTACTGTTTGGGTCTAGCCTTGGGGTTTCCGTTCGGTTTCATCATTTGGTTTGGTCTCCCCGATCTTTACGTTATCCGCTTTTCGCCCTCACTGAACAAGATATTCCTGCAGGAGCAGCGAGTACGACCACAGTCTCTGAGCGAACAGAGCTTGAAGATTCCGAGCTCGCTTGTATGGTTGACCGCAACGATCGCAAGAATGCAGCAGTCGATCGCGGAGCCTCGATTGATAGGTGGTTGAGAAGGGGGTGGGGTGGGGTGGGGTGAGGCATACTCCATGGGAGAGCAAACTGCCGAGCAGCTGCGTGAAAAGACCCGTGCCTGCACTGCAGTGTATAGCTAGGGACTGTGCACTAACACACTCTGTGGCTGGAGACGGTGCGCGAACTACGTTGGGGCGGCACTTCGAGGTCACGATCAGCGGTGCATGGTACGCGAGAATGGGCATGGAGGCTCGGCTCGCCCGCCTTCTCACGGAGAAGGCCAAGCCAAAGGCACAACGCGAGACCCATGTGATCGGGCCTTGTAAGAGATCAGGTTCCGATTCCTGGTTTTAGTATGGCCTGTTCACGAACTTCATGTCGCATTCCACGGTCGACGTATTTAGCAGGAAAGCACGAGCTTGCCATTTCCTTCGTATCCTCACCTAACATCCTCCCTAGGGCAGTGCCGAATGTTACGAGTGAATGCCCAGGGGTTGTTTGAATTGTACCCCACCTGATGATATAGCGTGGTACTTCTCTCCAATTATTTTTGCATCTCTTGTTATATGCACCTACAATCATGTTTGCGGGCTTTGGAGATATCTCTATGTATGAACAAGTTCGTGATGGAATAGTAAAAGCAGTGAAATCTGTACTTTTGGATTTTTGCTTAATGAATTTCACAAAACGAGTTTTCATTGATCTATACAGAGCAATTGTGAGTCTATTGTTGTTACATAAATCAGAAGTATATTTTCTCCTTGTGATGTTATTCGGGAGGTCCTCTCTGATTATGTCGCTCTGCAAAGACTGAAATCCCGTGGTTAGAAGAACGATCGGTTTTCAATGCGTCTATAAAACTGATACTCTCCAGCATCTGCAGGAGCGCGAGGATGGAGGTCGGCAAATGGTTGCAGCTGTCTTTCAGCGATGTTGTCCAAGGGTTGATGCCCTGTAATCAAGCTCCACGGAGTTACTTGGCACAGAGAAATGTGAACAGCCGATTTGCCACCTGCGATCTTAGGAATACTTGGAGGTCGTGTATTCTGATCGGAGAGTTGCTCTGTACTTGGAATCGTGCACGTACTCGCTCGACATATGATGTCGTGACGTACCATCTTCTCTCGACTGGGGCAATATGAGTAGGGATCCAATATTCTGCAATTTCAATGGCCCGATTTCAATAGACGCTTCGATTCACAGGCAACTGAAATACAAAGATTTGTCCACGGCTTGCCTCAATACATGTACAATGCGGACCACATCTCATTGTGAACGAGTTGCTGTCACTTATCCCCGTCCATTTAGAACAACTCGTCAGAATTCCTATGAGTTCAAAATCCTCTCTGCGAGTTTCTTCTTGTGTCACACGCAGATCCATCTCTTCGTTGTCAAACGTGTTTGCAAATCTGAACCTCGGCGGACGTCGAATATTTGTCGAAAACTGACACACCGACGGCTGCCTTGGTAGAAGCGCACTTACACGGTTCATACCCCGTCTCTTAGTACACGCAGTGGCTTCAAATTCGATCCGCAATTTTTCCTAACTGTGAGCATGCAAGGTGTCGCATGGTCGTCGCCCGCCATCCGAGCACTTCACACGAACTTTGGAGGGACCGAAATCCTCCTTCAGTCATTCCGGAGCGCATCCCAAAGATATAATGGGTTCTACTCTCACAAGTTCCTGTAACGTGAAGACTCTGCAGCTTGTTGTGAAGAATGCGCTGCCGTCATGCACTTGGACTCTGGCAAAATATCACTAAAGATTGTTCACCGGACACATGCAGTGAATCGGGAACATGTGTGCTGTTCCAGAAGAATTGCTTTGGCAAAGCAGGCTTCGTAGTCCATATTCCTTGACTCCAGCTGATTTGGGTCACAGCGGAGGTAGACGTCGATCAAACCGCCCATGACGCCGATTTTGACCTCCAACCGGCGATCATTGGATTGACTCAGTCTTCAAAGAATATCTGTGGAATCCCATGTTGCCTGGACAAGAATCGAGCTTCGCACACCAAAGCATCTTCGGGTGATGTAAAGAATTTGATTGCAGGTAGATGTTCCGTCCAGGCTTCTGGGTACAGGTTTCAGTTCCTTCCTGGACAATGGATCCGTCGTTCACCATGTGTTTATTACAGCACGCCAGCCAATCGCGTCAATCTTTTCATGTTACAGTAACCACCATTCCCGGTCCCCCTTAAGCATGCCGTGTCTTTACTATCCTCACATAATCGTTCCACCTTCTAGCTTGCAATAGTCAGGGAATTTGGAATCAATCATCCCGCTAACGAGCTTGATGGCCAAGATAGTACCAAAAGAGATGGGAATTTCATTTCGCTTTCACATTTGATGAAACCAAATATGTAATTCTTCGCTACTCTCGACATTAACACATGATGGTGTCATGTTGTATTCACCATCATATTATATGTCGTGGCTACTTAGCGTGATATAGTGGATAAATATGTTGTGTATTTCATCCATTATATCCTACTGTTATTACTGTTATGTTTACTTTCTTTATGCTTAAAGTATGCAACTAAATTCTACAAAGCGATCCCTTCCGCGAAAACGTCAGATGCTCAACCTGCGATACGTTTCCAACTTGCGTCCATAGTATCCTTGGCGGTTTTACTCCAAAAAGGCAGTAAACAAAAACATATTCACTAGCTAACATTAATGGAACTCATTATCCGACAAAGTTTTTTTTAAATACAATAATGTATTTATAAAAGAGAACAATATTATCTAAAAGTATTTTTTTATAATATAACTAGATCCAATACTTAAAAAAATGTCAATTGTTTCATCTTTATTATATTTTCATAACATGTTTTTATTCTAAATATATTCTTTCATGTTAATTGATGATATTTTACATTATATTTTTCAATTAGAGCATAATTTTATTAATGGTTTTTCTGCAATAATCTTGTGTACGATCTAAGAATCAGAATTTGCACGAAAACATTAGAAAATTAGCGTGGTTCACAATTATGTTACACATGAGTTTTACCTACAATGATGGAGGGTAAGTGACCTAGGTCTTGCAGTACTAAGTAGTCACAGCCAAAACCCTTAGTAAAGCCAAACCCCAATTGACAATCTTAAGTAGTCATTGCCAAAATTGTAATTGAAAACCTACCAAACCTTAATTGACAATTGAAGTGAGTACCAACCTAACAATCTTCTCTTTAATCCATGTCAAGAGAACTTTAAACTCCATAAGCTATATATTTACTTTGCGGTAAGTCCGCGACGTTACAACCTAACAATCTACTCATTAATCCATGTTCAGGAAATTGTAAGCTCCATGACCTATATAATTACTTTGTGGTAAGTCCAAGACGTTACAACCTAACTATCTCCTCATTAATCCATGTCAAGTAAACTTTGAACTCCAATACTCTGCAAAAATTCCAAGAAGAATAATTAACAAAGATTTCTATTTAAACTAGAGTTAATTGGAACTAAACCGTAGCCAACAATTGATATAAGAATATATACATATAGCTAACAAAAATTGCTAGTGAATTCTACTTGTGATTCTCTTGCAAAACCTGCATAATATCACAATGTGCTCTAAAAGTTTTTTAAGTAATAATTTTGGTCAACACATCTGCATGATTGAATTTACTGTGAATCTTAACTAACTCAATACTTTATCAAAAACTACATATTTGATAAAATGATATCTAATGTTGATGTCTTATAGATTGTAGACAATAAATTCAAAAGATAAACAACTTTACTCTGATCTGCAATTTTCTCTTCAAGATTTTGAAGATTAATAACAAGATTATCAAATGCATCGATGTGATATTGAATCTTTGTGCCAAAATTTGTGATCTTCAAACTCATTGGCTTCAAGGAGAGATACAACCATGTATGAGAATTCTTTGAGATAAAATGAATTTATCTCTCAAGATACTCAAAAAATAAAATACATTTATCATACTTATTCATTTGTTTCAAAATCAAAAGTTGTAAATGAAGTATAACAAAACTCATAGCTTATTTGTAGAATTATCTCTAGTCATTGTAGATAGATGGTTTCAACCTCAATGTCTAGTCAAGATGCATGATCTTTAGCTTGCACTTCTTCTGTTTTTATCAAACAATGTAGTCATTACGTCCGTCATACATGACTATGTTGTAGCCCGATACTCCAAACTTAGTGATGATATCTCAGTTATTTGAACATTATAAAGTTATACTTTATACCGGTGAAGTGATAAGTTTTACATTTACTATTTTTGCACTTTCGTCCATCATGTTTCATCAAATCATCTAATGATCATCAAACAATCTTGTCCTTCTTGTACTTAAAAATCTACTACCTGCAGCATGAAGCGATTTGTTTGAAGAGTTTATTATATTCCTTGTGCTACACCTACTCCTACTACTACATCCAAGTCTTTGAACAACTTTACTAACAATTTAGTTCTCCTTCCTTGTTGTTGCCAAATGTGATCCAATCACATGCATCCTAATTTAAAAAAACTGATTTGCTTATGTAATATCCCATCACCTATTGATCAATTCCTTATCGTTGAATCCTACGGTACATCATACCAAACTACCATGCGTAGAACTCTTGATTTCATCGGCACGGAAGATAAGATATATGTTGAAACTATTGCATGATTAATGTGGCATGAAAGTTTGTAGAAGTTTCAAGGAATTTTTCATACTTTTTGAACATTTGAAAGTTGTCACTGGCCAATTAAAGACACTTTTCATATTCTGCAAAGAAACAAACATTATGAGCAAGTAAGAACAAGAGAGTAATGGAGAAATTTTTGTATGTTTACCTGTATTTCTATTTGTCAATCATCAAGCTTGATGGTCAGGGTGCATTATTATCACACCGTAAGCAGAATCATATATCATTAGTAGACTAGCTAGTAAGATGGTATAGACAAACAATCCTGGATAGACCAATGACATGTTGCCACATAATGAAAATAGGTCAAATCTATTAGTATTTGTCTCATTGAAAGTAAGTTTGATGATAATAACATGTGTATTTATTGTGATTTTTCAATCAATATAAATAAAGAGGTAAGAAAGAGACTCTCAAGCAAGTTTGAAGAGTTTAATGTTTAAAATTTGTTTTATCAATAAAAGATTGAGGTTCATTATCTTGAAGGGTCATCCCTATCACTATTATCTTTGAATCTCGATAAACGATAAAATTTGAATGTTGAGTGAAGAAAGTGTGTAAGAGGGTGTTTGAGACACGAGCATGTCTAAAAATCCTTGTAATGTCGAATACAAGGATTAATGAACTATCAACAAACCATCCAAAATATCCCAGATGTCATAGTCAAGTACTATTCTTCATTCATGAATGTTGTTGAATTAAAGATTAATCAATATGGAATTAATAATATGGCACAAGAAGAAGTTATGGTACATATGGAACAAATTACTCAAAGCAAGAAATGTAAGACTAAATTATTGTTGATGAACATCAAATTAATGCACTTAAAGATCTAGATTAATAAAAATATAATAATAAAAGATTATCACTTTAAAATAGTGGAGCTACTATGAGATATGAATTATGAAATTTTTTTATTCAGTTTTGCAAAAATCATGATATTGATACTAATAATGATGATGACATAAATATGCTTTGTGTGTGTACATCAAATAGATGAATAATGAGATTTTCAATTCTATTATTCTAAAAATATATTATTCTAATTTAGATGCTACATCTTGGTACAAATGAAGTAATGAAAAGCAAAGTGAATGACATCCACATCAAAAATCATTTCATCGGAAATGATTTAGACTAAAAAAAATAATTCAATAAATTAAATTGACAATAAATTCAATCTAGCTAAATCATTCATCAAAATTATTTCTATGTAACATTTTGTGAGAGATTATGCTACTTTGCAGGTTTCGTATAATAATAACAAGTAAAGTTTATCAATAATTGTTATGTCCAGATTTCTTTTCATTTTATTTTATACTGGATTAATTCTAGTTAACTCTAGTTTAAAGATAGTTAGATGTTAGTTTTTTTTTTCTAAATACATTTGCAAAGTATTTATATATATGATGAAAGTTTGTAACTATTTTTAGTAAGTTAAAACTAAAATAGAAGTTATTTAAGATGAAATTATAGTTACTTTAACGTGCACGAGTCATAGTTGTCACATTAACGATCTGCGTGCTTGATACTTAGAAAGTAAATGTATTAGTCAAAAATCAATGTGTTTGTTAGGTATCTCCGTCACGTCATTTATCCACTAGAAGTGTAATGGAGGATGGAAATGAAATTTTATCTCCTTGTACTTGTTAGTAAGAGTTATATAAGGAACATGAGAACCATTGTGGTATATTTCATTTTCAAATTTTATGTTTTCATCTTTGAATGAATTTATTTTTAAACCCTAGTGCTACAA